AAGGTAATTGGTGTTTATTAACAGTGTGTTTGACACCAAAGCTGTCAAGTGAAGCCATGCACAGAAATGGGTCAATTGAGCTGAGTTTACACAGCTAGTTGAACTTCTTGTTCAGGAAGAATTACGAATTTGCCAGTATTTCATTGAAATCACTTTATATCTAATCAGTCTGTAGGCTAAGGAATCCAGATGAAAACGGGTTATTTTCCGAATTCCCTGGTTATTTGGTCACCCCGCGGGTTTTCCGGGTGACCCCTCAGAATTGTGAAAATCTCGGGTCACACCCGCAGGATCCGGGTCAGTTGACAGGTATGCATACACTTAAACACAAGTTATTGTCTGGAAACTACAAAAATGCTTGTTTTAGGCCCATAATTCCTAAACTGTTGGTACCATAATCCCAATAATCAATCCCAACCTTCCTTTTGTGGTATTGAACCATCTGGTAAAATTTCATAGAGATCCATTCACTCTAACTAAAGTTATTGTCCGGAAACTAAATGTGTTTTCGGACGACGACGACGACACCATTATACGAACGCAAATTTTTTTTTGCAGTCCTATAAAAATTAGTTGCAAAGCTGATAGTGTAATAGCAGACTTAGAAATCAATTGCATGCAGAACAGCAACAATTCAAACCATTCTAAAACTGAATCAAGTTATTAAATTAAAAACTCAAAATGCAGGTCATGATCTGCATTGAAGAAGAAAATGTCAGGTCAAAACGTGTGCAAACTTTTTTTCAGTACAATTTTAGAGTTTTTTTTATATATACCATAACATATACATGTACCACTGAGTTTCCTACAAATATTCACTTTTGTATTTGTTAATTATATAAATATATATTATCATTTATCAAATATCTTTCTAAAGCAATGCCCTCTTATTGTTTTACTCACACTACTTTTTTCATTAATGAATGTCATAAACCCCAGCTATAAATGAAATTAGAAATAAACAAGCACTCTGAGAGTATTGCATGGCAATACATAGTCTCCTACCGGGTAAAAATTCATTATACTGGAAAAAAAAGCTAACTTGTAACGTTGTTCTATAACTTGTCATGGTGTAAACAATAAGAAAATATCAAGTCAATATCTTCAAGCATGACTAAAAACAGTGTGGAAAACTGATTAAATGAGTGAATTTTTCAAGTCCAAGGACCATAACTCTGCACAAAATTATCAGACCGAAACAAAATTTTGAACTTGATCTGTATAACTTGTCATGATAAAACTATATACCAATTATCAATCAATATCTTCAAGCATGATGAAAAAAAGTGTGGAAAACACTTTAACATCAGATATAATTAATAGTTCTCGAAAATTAGATATGATGTAATACAGTGTATCTATTTTCAAATTATAATCAGTTCCAAATATTTTTTCTTTTCTTTTGTCACAAACTAATATAGATTTTAAACTTATCTATAAAATGAAACTAATATAGATTTGTAACTTATCTATAAAATGTCAACAATTTTTATCTACACAATGTAATGTAATATATACATTAATAAAAATAGATTATTATCTAATTAAAGGATTTCACTTCATAATTCTTTTATATATATATATAGCATTCAGAAAATTAGTTTATACAAAATAACAAACAAACCTGCCAAAAAATTCTTCAAATAATTTACCAAAGAATGTCTTTTAAAATATGAGTTATCTCCCTTTGTACAGAAATATGGTTTAACATAGTACTCTAACATTAGATATGGTCCTGAGTTATGATCCATAACTCTGGACTAAATCATCGGACCGGAACAAAATTCGAACTTGATCTATAACTTGTCATGGCAAAACTATATACCAAATATCAAATTAATATCTTCAAGAACGAAGAAAAAACGTGTGGAAAGCTGATTTTCCGGACTGATATATGGACAGACAGACGGACAGAGTGCAAACCTAAAGTCCTCTCGACTTCGTTGGTAGGGGACTAATTATAGCTAATGTGCTCCTATACACAGGAAGATAAATAGAAAGTAGTAAGTGTGTTTCCTTTCAGTGCAATATCTAGAGAATATGGATTTGATTTAAAGCTATTACATTTAAGTGATATTAAATGCATTCTCTACAACAGAAATGTATTGAAAGGTTCAAATTGTTTTAAAATTATTTTTATAGGATAATTGATATTTGCAAAAGGCAAATCTTTTAATCAGGACATAGAATTGTATGTCAAGCTTGACTGGCTTCAACTTTCTGGGGTACAATTCTCGAATTGTTACTTTTCAATCAAATGTAATTGTGTTGATAGCTGTTATCGGCACAGTAATAAGCAAATCCTTAGTTTTGACTTTTCAATTGTTAACCTTTTCAAAGGAAAACAGCCAATAAAAGCGAACATATATTTAACTTCTAAATACCTGTGAAAACGGCTCATTTTCTGAAATCCCGTGTCATTTGAATACACTGCGGGTATTTAAAAAATCCTGTGTGAAAGGGGAAATTCACAGGTGTTATCCGCAGAATACGGGTCAGTTGATAGGTATGTTGATCGATTGTGGGTGGTTCAACACACTTGGCTTTTTTGTGGCGGGCAGTGTTTATTGGATGAGGACTCTGAGGTACCCAGAGAGCATACCTGCCAACCCTCCCGTTTTGAGCGGGAGACTCCCACTCAAACGGCGAAATTCCAGAAATCTTCCGCTTGCGGGTACGCTCCCGCGCGGGAGTATAAAATCTCCCGCTTTCAGATATTTTAACCTGGAATGACCCGCGTTCGTAATTCTCTGACTTTTTCATTACTGTCAATAGAAATAAATAAACAATAGGCGATCATTTGAAAACTTTGGTCAGTAGTTTTTATGTTCAATTTATAAGTAATAGAAATTCATTTCTGCTATGTCAACTCCAACAAGATAGAGGTCTTTGTCTAGACCAATTGGCAGTGTAAAAAGAAGAAATAGATAACTGCAAATCGAAATGTCAAGCAGACTGAATGAAAGATTTTTAATTTTTACGACCAAGTTCACGGACACTTGGCAATGAATTCTTGATTTTGCACATCATGTTCAATCAACTTTTCGGTTTCTTCTGGTGGTCTGTTTGACATTTGAAAGCATGCTTAGTGTGGGTCTCACAACAAAATCAAAACATGGAATGTTATGAGTTATGAGACTCAAAGGTATTGAAAAAAGCAAAAAAACAAAAAACACACCTTGTATCAGGGATGGGGTAATCGTAATCTGTAATCGTAATCGATTGTAATTGATTACATTTTTTCAAGTAATCGACAGTAATCTGTAATCGACAACATTTTCGATTACATGTAATCGTAATTTAATCGATTACAGCAAAAATTATGATGTAATCATCGATTACTTTTCGATTACATTTCGATTACTTTAGTAATATAGTTTGAAATAAAACCTAGTTTAAATGAAAATAGACAACTGCATGTATTCATCAGTTTAAAGTACTGATAAAATAGAATGCATCAATATTACTTGAGAGTTTATCAAATACCTTACTTAGATCTGCTGTCTCAAGCTGCATTATGATAAACCAAATCTCCTAGGCTAACACTTTTTATTAAACACAAAAATGTTAAAAATAAGAAAATAGATTCAAAATAGGATAATACATAAATGTACTTGTAGTCCTAAGCTAAGTTCTGTACTATACTAAAGAAGAATGCTTTTCTATATGTAATAACATTTTTTAAAGCTTAATTTTCAATTATATTTAGAACTTTACCTTGGAGTAGATAAACTGTTGATTCGTCATAGTGTTATGACATCAAAATTAGGAAAGAATACAAAACATTTTTACAATGAACCAATGCATTGAAATTTTTGTTAGGTAATAGATACATGTATCCCATTGTGTCACTAAAATGTAAATTGTTTATGATTTTGAAAAGAGAACAAAGAATTCTCAAAAACCTTCTTGTTTTTATAATTACTAATCAGATGAGCAAAGACCTCTAATCAATGAGATACAGACTATGTTTTGATTTCAATTATGTTTAATTAAATGAGAGATTTCATACATGTTGTTGCCCTTAGGTTATAAATTGTTCTCCATTGGCAATTGTATAACCTGTAATTAGGGGGATTATCCAAACAAAAGGATAAATTCATTCATGTAACTATAAATTATAAATTTCCATCTTTTAAAATTAGTTAAATTAACTCTTCTTCTTTTTTATATATTTTTTTTTCATAGGAAACCTCTCATACTCATTATATTCAAATATACCATCCTGTTAAATAAGAGTAAATATCAAAACTAAGTCTGTATGACAGCAAAAAATTTGCAAACTATGGAGAAAATGACCTACAATATAAGGAAGCAATTGATACAATTGTCGATTTCATTTCAAGAATGTTCTCATGTTTATCATCGCTCACTCAAAAATATTTAAATAGTTTAGATCCTCTGTAAGAGCTTTCATCTAGAAAACAACTGTCAACATAACATTTGGATACAATGCTTTAAAAGCTGTTTTTGTAAAGTTCTAAATTACCACTCTAAATAAGTTGTGTTTAAACTTTCTTCAATATTTTATAACATGTAATTGATAATAATCGAAAAGTAATGTAATTACTTTTGATAAAGTAATCGATTGCAATCGATTACATACAAAATTCAGAGTAATCGATTATTAATCGATTGCACAAAAATCCTTCATGTAATCGACTATTAATCGATTACATTTTGTCAGTAATCGTGCCCATCCCTGCCTTGTATAGATTGTAACCATGAATTGAAGAAATAAATTATATCTTTTAACTCTTATTTGTGTTTTGTAAATGAATAAATAAACAAGTCATATATTTAACTTGAAAATGTTGTTCGCGCAAAATCTCCCCCTCAGCTGTCATAGCTGAGGGGGAGATCTCCCTTGTTGAACACCTGTATAATATTATGGCAATACAAAATCAATCCTAAATGTATAACTTTAAATGTACTGTTAACTATTATTAATATAGAAATTACATCAGTGATAAATAAAAATTATTTTTAAGGGCATGCACCTGATTGCCTATCACAACAATTTGTGGAAGCTGAATCGTCTCTGAACCAACAGTGTTAAACACATCTTGCAGTTTGTTGATTACAGGGATCAGCCCTTCCATCGCTGAAAGGTTTACTTTCTATTTGAATGTCAATCGGCAGTCAGGGACATTTGACTTGTTTCGCTTTGGGCATAATCTCCAAAATTAGCTCCGGCAATCTTTCACTTCCGGGTTATACGGTGAATACAAGAACGATTTGAATGATACCAGTGGATACAGAAACATTTTATGTGCACATTCATTGACATTAGATCTTTAACATAAATAACTAATCAAAATCACTATTCTTATTCATATTAATATTTGGATTGTTTTTTATATCTCTCACCGAAATTATTCTGATATTTTTTATTTCAGTCTAAAATCTTTCTCAAGACAGCAAGAAGGATGACGTTTTACACATTGAGAGACTTGGCTTGATATTTTTTTGTTGTATATTCTCATTATGTCAGAGTCTGAAGCCAGTGGAATGTCTGTAAGTTTTATAATATGAGACAGGTGTTACCTGTGAAAAAGGACAACGTTCGTATCAGTAGTTATTAACATGCATATTACAAGTTTTGTTTAATATTTAAAATAAGAACCCTATCAGGTTCTGCAAAACTGGAGTTTGAGCTAATACAGCTTGATTTGGCTATGATGCTGTCCGGTAGATTCGTCTGTCCTATAAGTCCAACCATTTCACGTTGGGTACATGAAAAGGACTGACAAAATTACTGGATTTGACTATACAAGCTCAATGATGATTTAACAATTATCTCCCTTTGCAATTTTTAAATTATCCCGTATATTATGGATTTTAACCCTTTCACCGATAGCTGCCCAGACAGAAGCTACTCTGAGACGATGGCTTCCCTGGCTACTATTACTCAAGTGGGAGATCTTCATAATAAATGTCAATAAAAACTTGTCTGTAGTTATTTGTGTCTTTATTTCATTCACTAACACCATGTTCACAGTTTTGTTCATGTTTTGATAATTTTTTCTTCATAAAATATTCAAATTTTCAAATTTTCGGCATTATCTAGGTGAAATTCTCATAATTCTGCTCTTGGACCCAAAATCGTAATTTTTTAACCCAAAACGGCAAAATTTTGAAAAATTTAATGAGGCTGTACAAATTCCTTACACTGAACGATGTCCATTCCAAGTGTTTTGTACATAAAACGACATTTTATGTCAAAAATGTATACTAGTTTGGCTTCAATTCTTCCATATTCTTTCAAAAAAAATGTTCCCTCATTTCAAATTCTCGTAAATTCCGTAAATTTCCTCTGATTTTGACAAAGGTTTTCAACAAATGGAAGCGCCATGTTTACACTTTCATCCGGGTATTCAACAAAGAAAGGTAACTCGTGTTTGCAGTGTTTTGAGTGGGAAATATAAAAGAGGTATTCCGATCCCGGTAAAACGGGACTCATCGTCAGCTGTCTGAAGCGTGAATCCCGGTAAACCGGGACTCATCGGCGAAAGGGTTAAGATTGTATTGTGACGTCACAATTTCCATTGAAATAGCATGCATAATACACATTCATATGACGTCGAAAACATATGATCTGACAATACATTTCTTGTTCTTCATTATTAATTGGAAGTGCAATCTAAATCTTTACAGACAAAATTAGGAGGCACTGTTCATACCTGTCAATTAATAGGATGAAGACATGACAACAGGATTTGAATTCCTTATTACTGTAACTCACCTAGGTCTATGTGCATTTTCAACAATGGGCAGTAATACAAAAAATTGGTTAAAATTGTCATTTAAGAGCAATTACTCTACTAAGGAGTGGACTGAAGGTTTCAGTCATTAATATTATTTGTAAATTTTAGCTTGCCAATCAATTTTGCTGTATCTATCTATCTATCTATCTATCTATTATAGTTTATAAAATATTAGGCGAAAACACAAAAATTGGTAAAAATCTTCATTCAAGAGAAATAACTCCAATAAAGAGTTGAATGACAATTTCGGCATTGAGACTTATTTGTAAATCTTGTCTTGATAATCATTTTTGCATTTTAAAGTGTCTATCTATCTATTATATTATTCATGATAATAACCAAAAACACAAAAAAATGGTAAAAATCTTCATTCAAGTGCATTCATTCTAGTAAGAAGTCGGCTTAACATTTTTGTAAAGTTTCAGCCAAGCTGAATTATTTGTAGATCTTGTCGTGCTGATTATTTTTTGCTTTTTAATGTTTCTAATGTACATTTTTTAGATATACATTTGTAATTAAGCAAAAATGAAAAAAATTGGTATAAATTAGTCAATAAAGGGCCATTACTTTAATAAGGAGTGGACTGACGATTTTGACCATGTTGACTTATTTGTAGATACTGTCATGCTGATCCTTTTGTACTGTTTAAAGTTTCCTTCTAAGTACTATAATTATCAAGATAATAGGCAAAAAATAATGGGCCAGGTGAGATAAAAATCAATTGTCCTTTTAAGTTCATGATTAAAGTTGAAACTTTGTTGTTCCTGTAAAGTTTAAAATTACTTTCCATTCCAAGTATTAATCATGTTAATGCAGAAACAGAAAATGTCTAAGGGAGATAATTTTTATAACTATAATATGATCTGATATAGCCCAATCTCGTGTATATGCTTGAATTGTCAGTCAGAGGCATCGTCATTGATTATAAAAAACAGTTATTTTTTTTTAATAAAAATAACTGGTTTAATATAAAAATAAGAAGACGTGGTATAATTGCCAATGAGAGAACTCTTCACCAGAGGCCAAATGACATAGAAGTTAATAACTATAAGTCACCGTACCGCCTTCATCAATGAGCAAAAAACATTCTGCACAGTCAAATTTAAAAGGCCCAGAAATGACAAATATAATACAATTCACACGAGAAAACTACAAAACAATGAAAGAAAAAGAAAATATGATATACAGCAACAAACGACAACCACTGAATTACAGACTCCTGATTTAGGACAGACACATACAGAATGTGGCAGAGTGAAAACATGTTTACTGGCGCCAATCCTTCCTCCTAACCTGTGACAGTTATTCACTGATAACAAAATCAATATTTACAAATGTATACCAATAAAAATATTATTCAAAGATCTAATTACAGTGTTGAATTGGCAATCTTTTAGAATAAGTTTATTTAAAGGATTGATAAGCTAGTTTTAGTTACACTGTACAACCTTAGTTTTAAAAATAACTAATTTTGGTTATATTTGAAAATTTTTCTGAAAATATTTGATTTTTGTCGAGCCTTCGACTTTAGTCGAAAAAGCGAGACATAGCGATCCTACTTTCCGTCGGCGGCGTCGGCGGCGGCGTCCACAAATAATCACTCTGTGGTTAAAGTTTTTGAAATTTTAATAACTTTCTTAAACTATCCTGGATTTCTACCAAACTTGGACAGAAGCTTGTTTATGATCATAAGATAGTATCCAGAAGTAAATTTTGTAAAAATAAAATTCCATTTTTTCCGTATTTTACTTATAAATGGACTTAGTTTTTCTGCCGGGAAATATTACATTCACTCTGTGGTTAAAGTTTTTAAAATTTTAATAACTTTCTTAAACTATCCTTAGTTTGTACCAAACTTGGACAGAAGCTTGTTTATGATCATAAGATAGTATCCAGAAGTAAATTTTATAAAAAAATAAATCCATTTTTTCCTTATTTTACTTTTAAATGGACTTAGATTTTCTGCCAGGAAACAACACATTCACTCTGTGGTTAAAGTTTTTAAAATTTTAATAACTTTCTTATACTATTTTGGATTTGTACCAAACTTGGACAGAAGCTTGTTTATGATCAAATGCTAGTATCTAGAAGGAAATTTTGTTTTCTTCCAGTTAACATTACATTCAGTCTGCAGTTAAAGTTTTTTAAACATTTATTAGATTCATAAACTATCCTGGATTATTACCAAACTTGGACAGAAGCTTCTTACAATCAAAAGATAGTATCAAGAGGAATATTTTTATTGATTTACTTCCTCATTTTTGTTGAGCCTGTGATTAACAGAAAAAGTAGGCGAGACACTGGGTTCCGCGGAACCCTTACGAATTTTTATTTACTCAGTTTATATGTTTTTCCTCTATAAGCCAATTATTTTCCCATGTTGACAGACAATTCAGCTCTGATTTTCCATATGCATACATGTAGTAGGTTAATAATGGGCAAGGTCTCTAAATAACTACACACTTGGGATATTAAATTCAAGTTATCTTTCAAACACTGTATCAAGAGGAATTAATTGCATCATTTTTTAAGTACATTTGTTCTCAATAAGATCTATCAAATAGTAGACAGATGTCCAGTGTTTTAGCAAAACAACTATCAATCAACCAATCCAGTGTTCTAGTTAGGATATTAGGGCAGAAAACATAGTTTTAAGACGAAGGGAAGGTTAGCATAGATTTTTGTCTTTTCAAATACAACTGTAGGACCACTTAATTCTGTTAAAAAATAAAACATTGAAATACAATACCCTGCCACGTCTGTTCTGTGTTTTTGTTAGTTGTTTTTCTGCTCTGTATTGATCTGATGAGTAAAGCCTTTTTCAACTGATTTTTATATTTTTTTGCGGTTGTATATTGGTATGACGTTGGCGTCGATGTCGTCGTCCGAAGACATATTGGTTTTCGCACTCTAACTTTAGTTTAAGTGAATGGATCTCTATGAAATTTTACCATAAGGTTCAAAACCACAAAAGGAAGGTTGGGATTGATTTTGGGGGTTATGGTACCAACAGTTAAGGAAAAAGGGGCCAAAAAAGGGGCAAAAAACAAGCATTTTTCTAGTTTCATGATAATAACTTGTGTGTAAGTGTATGGATCTTTCTGAAATTGTACTACAAGGTTCCATATCACAAAAGGAAAGCTGGAATTGAGTTTGGGGGTAATTGCCCAAAACGTTTAGGAATAAGGGGCCAAAAATAAGCATTTTTCTAGTTTCCAGACAATAACTTGTGTTCAAGTGTATGGATCTCTCTGAAATTGTACTGCAAGACCTGTACCATACCACAAAGGGAATGCTGGGATTGATTTTGAGGGTAATTGCTTCAAAATTTTAGGAATTAGGGGCCAAAAAGGGGCAAAAAACAAGCATTTTTCTAGTTTCAGGACAATAAATTGTGTGTAAGTGTATGGATCTTTATGAAATTGTACTACAAGATTCCATGTCTCAAAGGGAAAGCTGGAATTGAGTTTGGGGGTAATTGCCCAAAACGTTTAGGAATAAGGGGCCAAAAAGGGGCCAAAAATAAGCATTTTTGTAACTTCCAGACAATAACTTGTGCGTTACTGTTAGTGTATGGATCTCTCTGACATTGTATCACAAGGTTCCATATCACAAAGGGAATGCTGGGATTGATTTTGGTGGTAATTGCCTCTAAATTTTAGGATTAAGGGGCCAAAAAAGGGGCAAAAAACAATCATTTTTCTAGTTTCATGACAATAACTTGTGTGTAAGTGCATTGATCTTTCTGAAATTGTACTACAAGGTTCCATACCACAAAGGGAAGGCTGGGATCAATTTTGGGGGTAATTGCCTCTAAATTTTAGGAATAAGGGGCCAAAAAAGGGGCAAAAAACAAGCATTTTTCTAGTTTTATGACAATAACTTGTGTGTAAGTGCATTGATCTTTCTGAAATTGTACTACAAGGTTCCATATCACAAAGGGAAAGCTGGGTTTGAGTTTGGGGGTAATTGCCCAAAACGTTTAGGAATAAGGGGCCAAAAAGGGGCCAAAAAAACAAGCATTTTTCTAGTTTCCAGACAATAACTTGTGTTCAAGTGTATAGATCTCTCTGAAATTGTACTGCAAGGTACCATACCACAAAGGGAAGGCTGGGATTGAGTTTGGGGGTGATGAATCATAAGGGGATTCAAAAAATTTGGGGGAGGGTTTTTTTTTTCTTTTAAATTTTCCATTTTAAATTGGTTATTTCTGATTTATATATAAAAGCAAATAATAATGATATGGTTTGAATAGGTAAATTAAAAATTTTTAAGACCACATTCATTCTGTGTCAGAAACCTATGCTGTGTCAAATATTTAATCACAATCCAAATTCAGTGCTGTATCAAGCTTGAATGTTGTGTCCATACTTGCCCCAACTGTTCAGGGTTCGACCTCTGCGGTCCTATCAAGCTGCGCCCAGCGGAGCATTTTATTATAGTTTGTTCTTAAATTCTACTGTTACTACAGAGACCAAACGACAAAGAAGTAAATTTGAATAAATTAATTTAGTTTTGCTGGATTTGCACCTGATCTGTTCTTGTAAAACTAATATCAAGAAACATGTCTGGAAATTTTTTTTCAAATGAAATAAAAAGGAAAACGAAATTGGGAAATTCAGAGCAGCAATTCTGACGAACAAGACATTAATTTGGTGAAGCGTAATGAGGACTTTGTAAAAATAAGATGTGGTATGATTGCCAATGAAACAACTCTCCACCAGAGACCAAACGACATAGAAGTAAGCAACTATAGGTCACCATACAGCCTTCCACAATGGGCAAAACCCATACACTACAAAATAGCAAGCTATAAAAGCTTGTCTTCTGATATCTAGAAGTGCAGCTTAAAACTTAACAGGCATTAAAACAAAAACTAATCTGGAAAAAAAATAATACTGTTTTTTATTTGAATAATTTCCCTTATTTGTGGGCTTTCTTTCAGAACTGAAAATTAAAAAGAATTACTTATTCCCAACAAAATGAAGTTGCAGAGGGTATATAATGTTTTTGTCCTGTCTGTCTGTCATCATGACATTGTTGATATCAGGCTAGCACCTTCATTAATATTCATTAACTGATCTTCTTTAAATTAATTTTGTATGAAGGTTTCCACTTATCAATCCCTATATGAGTTTGATAATGAAAAATATCTGAAATGAGGGATGATTTTTTTGGGAGGGGAACTTGTAAAGATATCTCATATCATTTCTTGTTGGTGGATGGGGCCTGCATTTTTTCCCCGATTTTCTTCAAATTATTTGTATTCCACCCATCAAAGCCTTAGATGAGTTCAATATAAATCAGAAAAATTATGAAGGGGGACCATTTTTTTCGGTAGGGAGACTTGTAAAAATATCACATATTAATTCTTTTTGTCAGGATAATGTCTTCATTTCCTCAGATCCTCTTCAGATTTGTATGAAGATTTCCACTTATTAAATCTTGGATGTGTTTGATATTAAATCAGAAAAATCTGAAAATGAGGGACCATATTTTTTTGGAGGGGGACTTTGTTAATATATTCCTTATTCATTCTTGTTGCTGGGATGATGCTTTCATTTTTTGTCCCCTGCGCAATGTGTTGCGGGGTACATAGAAATACCTGGAGTCCGTTTGTCCATCCGGTCTTGTAAGCACTCTCACATGTACAATTCTTGACAGATTTTTATGAAACTTATATCATAGGTTTATATCAGCAATGTCTTGGACGAGTTTGAAAATCAGTGCCGATCAACTATATTTAAAAGAGTTATGCCCCTTGAAAACATTAATTATATGGAAAATTGCATCGTTAGCGCTCTCATTTGTTCAGTTCTTGCCAGATTTTTATGAAACTTATATCATAGGTTTATATCAGCAATGTCTTGAACGAGTCCAAAAATCAGTGCTGATCAACTATATTTAAAAGAGTTATGCCCCTTGGAAATATTGGATATATGGAAAATTGCATCGTAAGCCCTCTCATTTGTTCAATTCTTTCCAGATTTTTATGAAACTTATATCATAGGTTTATATCAGCAATGTCTTGAACGAGGTCAAAAATCAGTGCTGATCAACTATATTTAAAAGAGTTATGCCCCTTGGAAATATTGGATATATGGAAAATTGCATCGTTAGCCCTCTCATTTGTTCAATTCTTGCCAGATTTTTATGAAACTTATATCATAGGTTTATATCAGCAATGTCTTAGATGAGTTAGAAAATCAGTGCTGATCAATTATTTTTAAAAGAGTTATGCCCCTTGGAAATATTGGATATATGGAAAATTGCATTGTTAGCGCGCTCATGTGTTCAATTCTTACCAGAATTTTATGAAACTTATATCAAAGGTTTATAACAGCAATGTCTTTGACACTTTTGAAAATAAGTTCTTATCAAATATTTTTAACGAGTTATGTCCCTTTGAAATATTAATTATAATGGAAATCACATTGCATTTGCTCTGAAGCCTTCATTTCTCTAAGATATTAATGAAAAGTCTTATAGAACCAAAAAAAAAGTGCTTTTTTTAGTTTTTGTCCTGGTCTTGTACCTTGGATAGATAAAATATATGCCATGCAGGGTACATTGGAACTCTGTTCGTTTTTTTTTATTTAAATCCTTTTAAAATTAGTTAAAAGATATATCCACTCATATAATATAAAAGTATTTGTTTATCAGGAAAATCTGAAATGGAGAAACATTATTGGGGAGGGGACTTGCAAAATATCCAATATTTATATGGGGCATTTGGTATGTCACTATGTGGGCTACCTCACTAAAGTAGATTTTATTTCAGATTTACTTGAACACTGACCTATCATCAGACATCTATAAAAAAAGAATTGATTCATAGTAGAAATACTATCCAACATCTCAAATTTATTTTACTTCAATCATGTTAAATAAATGTGAAGTAATTGGCATTTATCATTATAAACATTCTGTTGTAAATTAACCATGTTATCTTAGCGGTGTATTCATTCTAAGGTTCACTTAAAGTGGGATGTTATGATAAAGCCTGCTTCACTGCTGAACAAAACAACCTTTGAAATCTTCAAGTTTTATGTGAATGAAATATAATGTCAAACATGTTGATGTACTAATATTTTGTAAAAGGACAAATATGTTAAACTATAAATCTTAAATTTGAATTGATGTGTAATTAGTTTTAAGTTCCTATATAACTGTTTTTAATAGCAAAGTATTTTTTTCTGGCACTGAATAACAAATTCATGTGGCCTAATTGAAAGGAATGTATCTGTATCAAAGGAATTATAACTAGTGTTTGGTATGAACGTACTAAATATTAAAGGTAAGAATGTTTGTGGTCTACCATACATGTGTTCCAGGTAAGAAACATGTCAACTGAATGACAGGTATTTGTCATTTTATTTCTGAATAGCAGGTGTAACAATAATTTATCATCTTATCAGTACATGTATGTCATGTACCAACTTTATGTAATGAAATAGTTATTTGTGTCTTGAAAAAAATTAGGTGAAAGTTGTATTTTTATAGATATGTGTATTGTGCATTTAGGAATAATATTGTAATGTTTCTGTCAATCAAACTATGAATTAAATTCAGGTATTTTTATTAACATCATTGCTTCTTAATTTTATAAGCTCAATATAAAACAGCATAGAAAACAAAAGATTGTTATGTAAATAAAACTGCTTAAAACTTAATAGATGGTGGTCTTAATTGAAAATTGAACAGCTTTTTTTCAGACTTTACCAAAATTCTATAACATGCTATTTAATTTTCAAAAACAAATAATAAAAAGTATGGGTCACAGAGCTTTTTATTCAAGCTACAGGTTGGTCAGAATTGTCAGATTATGAAAGGATTACACCTGAAAAAAGCACTTTCGTGTGAATCAAAAGAAAACTTTAACGATAGAGTTTGAAAATAAAATATGAGTATAGCTCTTATGTGCTTTCAGAAAGTAAAAAGAAAAAATTGGTTCACCATTCTTGTTTCATGCTGCAAAACAAAATAGGTTAATTTCTTTACATTGTTCATCCCATATTAAAACAAATTTATCTGAGTGATCTCCAAGATTTAACAGAGCTTTTAATCACTGAACATTTTTTTACATGATAAGTTAAACCATAAAAAGTTCTTCATTTAAATGAAAAGTCTCACATAAAAATCCAGTTCTGCACCAAAATTGCTAATTTTAGTAAAAAACTGGATCAATAATTTGCAGCCAATTGCAATCAAAGATTAATTTAGACCCAATAAAAAAATCACAATCCATAGGACCATACATGTACATGAATGAGACATATATATTAAAATCAAGGAGACAGATAAACATACATGTACAATCAAGGAAAGGCATATTCAAAAACTAAGCAATATGAACCCCATTAAAGCTGAGCATATTTTTGGTGTTATGGAAGGGTTAAGATATCCTCCTCCTCATGTGACACCTTTCTTATTGCCCAGATGTCTTAACCAATAATGAATCAAATTTGGTCAAGAAGAGAAATAAAAGTTAACAAATATGCAAACTAAGAGTATTGTACTGATTAGATTGGTAGATGAGTATTTAACGGTATATGATTATTATTGTTTTATCAACAGTTTTGATAGGAGAGTGGATAACTAAAGACAGGTTAGTTTTGGCTTTCCTTTTTCTACCTAATCATGCTAATCAGCATTTCTTTCCTTCACTTAATCATTGGGCACAATATTACCAGTATCACAACAGACAGATTATTAACATTACTGTTGTATCTTGGGTGATATTTCCTACCTTGACTGAGAATTTGGGAGCTTTGAGTTTGTAACATGGTGTATGGATATTTCATGCTAACTTTCATAAAAATGTTACCAGGTTTCACAACATTTGAATCCAAATAACCCAATTTCTTCCAAAATCTTAAAGAGGGTTAAGTATAACTGGGGCTAAGGCTTATTATATTCACAATGCATATTTTTGGGGTCTGTTTAAATACTTGTTGTTTGTTAAATTTATTAGTAAAATAATTTCAGAAACCAATTCTGATGTTTTTATTAATGCAAAAAGGGGACAGAATTGATCATTCCAATAAGGAAATTGAACTTTCATTTTTGTTAGGAATTACTATTTATACACTTCAGGAATCGCATTCATTCTTCTAGCATTTTTTTTTTCAGTTGTGAATCTCCCCCCAAAAAATAATAGCTATTGGACTTATTTGACATACATTTGTTGTTGGTTATATTAATTAATTAATAACTTTTATCTATTCCGTACCTAAAACTGATTTGACAACATTGACAGCTATAACTGACCTGTCCCTCAACAAAATTAATATACCAAAGACAAAGTGAAACCTTGTGATATTTATATCTTTATCATTTCATATGATCAGCATGAATGAGTGATTGGTATTTTCAGCAGCTTTATTTTTCAGCCTTGTAAACAGCAGTAAGAGCATCCATATTATCCATGTATATTACAGTTCCAACAATTTCTATTCTACTGTGGTTAATAAACTAGCATGTCTGATAATGTACTGTTATATTGAAGATTTATGGTGTAAAATATCTTGGTGAACAAGTGTTTTGTAATATCAGCAATCAACACCATGATAAAAAAAGACTGCAGATATAACAAACTTTGTCCATGCTTTATTCATGCTGCTGCTTTTTCAGCTTTTCTAGATAAAAGCCAGGTAAATGTTTATGTTGATAAACTTGTACATGTGTTTGCAGTCATAAGACCTGATCCATGTAAAATCAATGTTTAAGATTGAAGCCATAATGAGGTAGCCAAACTGTAGTGAGGCATCAGAATGTCATTGGCAACAGAACTATATTTATTATTTTTATTTTATATATGCACTTCATTTTACTTACGACATTTGCTAAATTTATTAGAATTTCTTTATTTCTAAATATTTGCAAACTTTTGCAAATTACATTTTGTGTATAAATATTATGTTGATCTATTTTTTTTTGCTTGATAATGATGATGTTGGTTTTGTAGATATAGTATAAAAACAAGTGATTGGTGTTCTCAGTTCATTTGATATTCACATGTTTGCTATATGGTGTTCAAAGATTTCAATTAAACAAAATATTTTCATTTCTATATTATAAAACTTTTACATACAGAAAACTAAAGATATACCATTTAGAGTTTCAAGAACATTAATCATGTTAATGGACAGAACTCCTTGATACATCATGTTAGATTAAACTGAATGCTGGTTGCATCACTTGCCTGTATTGATCTCTATGACTTGCCATAAATTACTTCAAGGGTCAATTAATTTCTTACAGCAGATTCTTTCTTCTTGTATACCTGACCTTCATTCTTTTTAACTGAATTTTATTACAGCAAGGTGACATAGCTCAGAAGTTTTTACTTCCAGAAAGACAAGTTAAAGTAAATCAGTTGGTAAACAGAATGGACGATGAAGGAGGTGTTATATACTGTATATGTAGATCATCAGACTGCTCAAGGTTTATGATGTAAGTCTACAAGTACATGTAGGAAAAATTCACATTTTACATGCTCTTTTAACTTGATAAATATGATAGTCTCATGATATTTTTTTAAATATATTTATGAATGAGGGCTATATTGCATTCACCTTGTTTGTCCATGTGTCCTTCAATTTGTTCGTCAGTTTGCCCTGCAAAACATACTGTCACACTTTTCTCAGAAACTACTGAACTAAATGATTTCATATTTGCCCAATAGCTTGACTGTGAAGAGTTGTAATTTGTGAGCATTTTTTTAATCTGTAAGACACCTACTTTCTGTTTGCTGATACTTTGATGTTTTCATTGTGTTGAATAAACCTAAGAATTATCGCCACACATTTCTCCACTACTACTGATCAATATTGTAGGGCTGGCAGGGAAGAAAATATTGTAAAAGTCATTACGTCATAAAAATATACTTATTGGTGTATGTTTCATTCTCTGAACATTTGTGCATGTTTGCCTCAGGGCTTATATACTTAGTTTTGAAAGATATTTTTTTGTTTGCTTGGGGTGTGGGGTGTGGAACTTTTTTCTTAGTTCTGTTTTCATTGATGCAATTGTGTAATCTCACAAATAATAGAAAATGACCATTACTGTAACAAATTGATAGATATGTCTTATTAATTTATTTTCAGTGGTTGTGACCAGTGTGAAGAATGGTACCATGGAGATTGTATAGGTGTTACAGAACATGATGCTAAATCAATCAAAGCCTTTTTCTGTCACTTCTGTCGAGGTTTGTTTTTGCCTTAAAGAAAAAATCTGTATTTGGATCTTTTAAGTAACTTATTTCACAAAATTGAACTTTTAAGGTTTTACATTGAATACTTGATGCCTCTTGATTATAAATATCAGAGGAGAACATTATAGGTGAAGTATCTGGTTTAAAGGGGCATTAGCTACGAGATATACAAAAATGAAAATACGATTTCTTTTTGTTAAATCATTAATGAAAATGATATAGTGAAATAATAATTTGCTTTTAGCAGCCAATTTGGTTCAATTTTGTCAAAATAAGCTAAGAAAAAGCGCTGATGAAATATTTTCATTTCTAAGTGAATAATTCGACCTCATTGAATATTCCATATTCATGGGACCTCCAATTTAGGTTGCACTTTGTAAATACAGCTGTTTCTTAAACCACGCCTCTTTTGGGGAGATATATAATATTCATAGATATGTTAATTTGTTAACGTACTGGTTCCCATTGATGATCTCTGTGTTTCATCTCATAGAGACATCACTTCGGAATGTAACCAGTATAGAAAAACATGGTAGCGCCTACATTTTAATTCTTAGGAGGTCCAAATATGGAGGTAAGGGTAGTATAGAATTTTAGTACAAGTTTAAACTCTTAGAAGTTCAGGGCATATAAATGTTGAAAATATGCCGCACAGCCCTATATTTTGACCTTTGAATAAAACAGTAGTGCATATAAACTTTCCGTTCTGGGATATTATTTTTCACGAAACTTCATAGTAAAAGTGTCACAGTTTCAGCCGCAAAGAGAGTTCCTATGGGAAATTGCATTGTCTATATTTACAGAATTGCAACCTATATAGGGTTAAAAAATAGAACAAACAGATTTTCACAAAATCTGGTTTATCTCAGAGATTTTAAAGAATTTAACTGAAAAATGAAGTTTTATAAATATTTCATGAAGATTGAGAAAATCCTGAGCCTTAACTATAATGACTCAGCATAAATTCACAGTTTACAGTATGCATGGTTTACTTAAAGCCCTGAATTCAAAATAAATTCATAATATATGCCTATTTGTAATTTAAATTTGTTTAGAAGTGCTTATATTTACTCTTCGCAGTCATTGCAACTCATTGATCCTTCCTAAATATTTTTGTTGGGGTGTTTTTGTCCTGTCGATAACCCAAAAGTAAGCCGTAACACCTCGATGTGCTTTTTTGTGACTGCGGCATTAAAAAGTACAAGCTAGAATTAGAAAAAGACCTCAGTAAAACTTACAATAGTGTGTTCTATCCTAAATATATACTAAATATTCCACATTTCTAGAAACAGGGAAAATATTTAGGAAATGTGAGGCCCCAGGGACAAAAAACAGAAAAAAATGCCTACCCTTGGGTCATAAAACAGATAATTTAACTTGTAAATGCTATGATTTTATTATTTTCAAGGTCTTTTGTAAAGAAAACAATAACTGTGCTGGGAAGTTATGCAAAAATAAGATGTAAGCAGTCATTTCTATCAAACTTTTAGTGAATTTATGCACCAGACTGATATCTTCTTAAATACAACTTTTGCAAATATGGCTTTGTTTAGACACTTCTAGTTCATATATTAACTAACTTATGTTAAATATATGGTTAGGGATGATACTGTTGAGACAAGAATTCTTAACTGACCATTTGAGACAGAAATTATGAACTTTCATTGACAAATAGGCATTCAGTAAGATGTGGACTGGAGACACAGGCAGGATTGAATACTTTGTATAATCTTGAAAGTTGGAATGATTAACTACTAAACAATACACTTATGGTATAACAAAATGCTTTCAATTTGTTATCAGAATAGTTTCAAACAGGTTTTAGACAGTTCATGTCAGAAAACATTCACATAGGGTAAGCTGTCAATAATTAAAGTCTTGTTTTCAAATTCTTTAAAAAATTGAAACAGGGGTAGGGGTATAAAATGTACTGTAAAAGGAAACTTATAGTATATGCAGTGATTTCTTTAAGGCTATAATTCTGATAAATAAGTATTGTTGTGAGAAAAAGTGTTTTTAGAGAGTTTTCTATTTGAATAAATCTTTGTATAGGTTGCACTTTGTAAATACAGCTGTTTCTTAAACCACGCCTCTTTTGGGGAGATATATAATATTCATAGATATGTTAATTTGTTAACGTACTGGTTCCCATTGATGATCTCTGTGTTTCATCTCATAGAGACATCACTTGGGAATGTAACCAGTATAGAAAAACATGGTAGCGCCTACATTTTAATTCTTAGGAGGTCCAAATATGGAGGTAAGGGTAGTATAGAATTTTAGTACAAGTTTAAACTCTTAGAAGTTCAGGGCATATAAATGTTGAAAATATGCCGCACAGCCCTATATTTTGACCTTTGAATAAAACAGTAGTGCATATAAACTTTCCGTTCTGGGATATTATTTTTCACGAAACTTCATAGTAAAAGTGTCACAGTTTCAGCCGCAAAGGGAGTTCCTATGGGAAATTGCATTGTCTATATTTACAGAATTGCAACCTTTAACCCCATACTTGGAGATGGGTTACTCATGTATTCAGCTATTAAAAGGAAAAGAATGTCAACATTGAAAGTGAAACAAGGATGAATCATTTGGTTGACTGATTCAATCCACAAAAATTCATTCTTATACAGGTAAAATCGATGATAAACATACTTTTAAACCTACAATATGAAATCAAACAGACCTCGAAAAATCCAATTGCATGTGGTCTCTATCTGTTTATATTTATATTTATGTTTATATTGGGTTCTATGACCGTTGGAAGTCTTTGATACGGAGGTCATCTCGATGGTTAATTAGATGACGTCTAGACAAAAATACACACGAAATGTTGATACATATTATCGAGTCCATGCATTGTTAATTGTTTATATTGTTATATTAGACTTTTTGTAATTTGGATATACGTTTTAGTATGTTATAAATCAATTATGAGAATTTAAGTCCAATCAGTTCACACGAATTTGACAGCTAATACCCTTTTAAATCACTGTTCTATATGACCTATCTTGTAACAATGGAAAAGAAAAAAACCCCATTAATTTCATAAAAAATTGAATTTCAGAGATATATTAAGTTAAAGGAAGGAAATCCAAACTCTTGATCAATATCTTTTTACTGAAAATTAGAAAAATCTAATTTATGTAAATATCTGCTTGTGTTAAAGGGGCATTAGCTACAAGATATGAAAAAATATTACGATATATTTGTTTTTTTGTTCAATCATTAATGAAAGTGAAATAGTGAAATAATAATATGCTTTTGGCTGCCAGCTAAGAGACTGCGCTGCTTATTTCAACCTCATTGAATCGGCATTCATGTGACCTTCAATTTGACCCCTTAGCTAGAGATTGGTTACAATGTGTTCTCCCCACAAATTTCATATAGCATCCTGGTAAACAGGGAATTCTAAAATACCATCTTATTTCTAGAAATTATAGCATCACATCCATAACACAATCTTTAACATAATAATCTCAGATAGCATCACATTCAAGTAATATAGCATCACTTTACCATGATGGTAAAAGGCCCTGGGGAGAACACTGCAATAACCTGTGCGTATTCAGCCATTAAAAGAAATAGTATGTCAACATTGAAAGTGAGAAAAGGGTAAAACCATTTGGTTGACTGATTCGATTCACAAAAAACTCATTCTTATACAGGTAAAAATGGTGATTAACATATTTTTAAATCTATAATAAGAAATCAAGCAGACCTAGAAAAATCCAATTGCATGTGTTCGCTATCTATTTATTTCTATATTTATGTTTATATCGGGTTATATGACCGTCAGCAGTCTTCGGAGATCACCTCAATGGTTAATTAAATGGCATATCATCTAAACTAAAATACACACATAATTTTTCTCTCTGTATTAATCGGTATTAATTACAAAAGGTTTTTCCACTATTATGAAAATAAAGAAATGAATTACTGTAACTAATTGACACCAAAGAATGCAATGTATAATTACTGACTTTAAAAGGCAACACTCAATTTTGTTTTTGTTTTTTTGTTTTTGTTCAAATATAATATTCTTCGAAAATACATACACATCAAGTTCCTTCATTAATTCACTATCTAAACAAAGCTTGCCCCTCAAATGGAGATTTCGTTACATAATGTTTAATATTCAAATCATGTGGTATACACTGAAAACCTTTTTGTTAGTTACGATAGTGTCCACTGTTGTTGTAGACGTCCACTTGTAATCAATGCCTCATTGATTGATTTATATAGTCTTCTGCTGTGGATACTAAGGTGTTTTAGTATAAAGGATACAGTTTTGATGAAATGGGTCTGCAATGACAACTGACAACTTGATTAGCAACAAAGTGCATTTGTATTATGAGATTTCACCTAGTTGCAATCTCTTGTATTATATTTCTTTGCCAAACTTTTTGAATCATTGCAGAATTAAGAAATAATTCATGGAAGCCATAGATTTGTTGGACATTTACACATGGCCTGGGCCGTGATATTCGAATTTTATCCTGAGCGTTAGCGAGGGATAAAATTAATGAATATCACGACCCAGGCCATGTGTAAATGTCCAACAAATCTATGGCTTTCATGAACTATTTCGATTCTAATAGGACAAATACGGTTATTTAAAAACTGAAGCGAAGGTAAGATTGCCAAGTGTATGGCTGTTGTATTTTGCCCCCTGTAAGATAAAAGCTACAAATTTCAAATAAATCTAAGTCTTACATGAATTATTTCTTAAATAAGCACTAGAAAAAATGTGTTCAATTCTCATAATTCTTAACCCAAACATTTTTTTTTTCGTTGGCTACTATTTACTGTCAAATCCAGAGTTGACATGTCGTAACTAAAGAGTGAGCCGCCATGTTGACTAGCTAAAATCCACAAATGTGCAAATAATACAATGGAATAGACAATGAAACAACACCTACCTCAAAACTCCATTTTAATGCAATATTATTCGAATTCAGGGCGTATACGTAACGGAAAACCATCAGCTTGAGAGTTTTCATTCGTATGACGTCATGTTATGACATGACGTTAATGCGCCAAGATTATTCATGAAATTTCGCAGAATTTTATTTTATTTTGATTTTATACATTTTTTAAGCTCTTGTGAATTAATTCTTTTTGTTATGCATTATAATAGGAATAATGGTTCTGTAGTTTCTTTTTCAATTTCAATTTGAACACAATGAAATCGACATAGTGTTTGCACATAGGTTACGATACATGTGGATTTACGTGGGAGGTAAATAGTAGCAGCCACCAATATGCACATCTCTGAGTCTGCGATATATAGTATATAAGTATAGATATATCAAGAATTTTATCACGGTGTTGTTTACAAAGCGAAAGAAGCACGTCATATTAGAATGTGACATATAGTATATAGTTACCTATATTTACACCCACTCTAGGAGTGGTAGCTATATTGCATTCATCTTGTCTGTCTCTGCTCCGTCATCTGTCTGTCCATTTGTCCAACAAATATTTTCGTCACACTTTCCTCAGGAAAATATTTTTTTGCACAAACATTGACAAATATTTAAAAAAAAAAATTATAGAGTGTTATAATATTACATATTGTAGAAAAAGATCCTTCATTACAAGTTAAATACAAAAAAAAGAAGATAAAGGATGTAGAATATGTACCGACTACAGACAGAGAAAGTAGACAGAAAGAAAAGGTAAATAAATATTTTCAACACAAACAGAGATATTAGACATAAAGCAAAGGTAAGGAAGTAGAATATATACCCCCTACAGACGGAGATAGTAGACACAAAGAAAAGGTAAATATATTCCAACTACAGACGGAGAAAGTAAACACGAAGAAAAGGTGAATATATTCCACCTACTGACGGTGACAGTAGACAAAAGGAAACAGTAAGGATGTAGAATATATTCCATGCATCTATAGATAGAGAAAGTAGGCAAAAAGAAATGGTAGGGATGTAGAATATATTCCATGCACCTATAGACAGAGAAAGTAGACAAAAAGGAATGGTAGAGATGTAGAATATATTCCATGCACCTATAGACAGAGAAAGTAGACAAAAAGAAATGTTAAAGATATAGAATATATTCCATGCACCTATAGACAGAGAAAGTAGACAAAAAGAAATGTTAAAGATGTAGAATATATTCCATGCACCTATAGACAGAGAAAGTAGACAAAAAGGAATGGTAAGGATGTAGAATATATTCCATGCACCTATAGACAGAGAAAGTAGACAATTAGAAATGTTAAAGATGTAGAATATATTCCATGCACCTATAGACAGAGAAAGTAGACAAAAAGAAATGGTAAGGATGTAGAATATATTTGATGCACCTATAGACAGAAAGTAGACAAAAAAGAAATGGTAAGGATGTAGAATATATTCCATGCTCCTATAGACAGAGAAAGTAGACAAAAAGTAGTGGTAAAGATGTAGAATATTTACCATCTGCTGATATACTGTGGATTCATTATTATTCGTTGGATACCAATTTTCGTGGATTTCGTGGTTATAGGTTAACCACGAAATTAAATGTTCAACGAATGGCAAATTTACTATAGGCTTGTTTGCAGACATTGTCAAAAACCACAAAATTAAATATCCACGAACATGTAAGTTTTCCTTAATCCAGGAAAATAAATGAATCCACAGTAGTAATAAGAAAGAAAAGGTAAGTTTTTAGTCCCCTACCGTCGAAGTCGAATAGGTTTGCACTCTGTCTGTCTGTCTGTCTGTCTGTCTGTCTGCCTGCCTGCCTGCCTGTCTGTCTGTCTGTCTGTCTGTCTGTCTGTCTGTCTGTCTGTCTGTCTGTCTGTCTGTCTGTCTGTCGGTCTGTCGGTCTGTCGGTCGGTCGGTCGGTCGGTCGGTCGGTCGGTCGGTCGGTCGGTCGGTCGGTCGGTCGGTCGGTCGGTCGGTCGGTCGGTCGGTCGGTCGGTCGGTCGGTCGGTCGGTCGGTCGGTCGGTCGGTCGGTCGGTCGGTCGGTCGGTCGGTCGGTCGGTCGGTCGGTCGGTCGGTCGGTCGGTCGGTCGGTATTTTACTTATAAATGGACTTAGTTTTTCTTCCAGTCAACATTACATACAGTCTGCAGTTTAAGTTTTTAAAACATTTATTAGATTCATAAATTATCCTGGATTTTTACCAAACTTGGACAGAAGCTACTTACAATCAAAAGATAGTATAGAGAGGAATATTTTTATTAATTTTTTTTCCTCATTTTTGTTGAGCCTGGGATTAACAGCAAAAAAAAGGCGAGACACTGGATTCCGCGGAACCCTTACGAATTTTTCGATCTGTGCATCCTTCTGTCCTCTCATCCGTCTGTCCATCCGTCTGTCTGTCCTGCTTCAGGTTAAAGTTTTTGGTTAAGGTAGTTTTTGATGAAGTTGAAGTCCTATCAACTTCAAACTTAGTACACATGTTCCCTATGATATGATCTTTATAATTATAATGCCAAATTAGAGTTTTTACCCCAATTTCATGGTCCACTGAACATAGAAAATGATAGTGCGAGTGGGAATCCGTGTACTATGGACACATTCTTGTTTATAATATAACTTTTTAACTTTTGAGCATTATTTGTTTTACATTTCATGCTTAAATGATTTTTTGTTCGGGTTTATTTCTTAGCTCATAAGCTATACTAGACCACATCATTTTGAATTCTATGACATCCTTTGTAGAAGTTCTGTGATATTTTTCTTGAAAAATGTTGTAACATTATAGGAGTCTGCAAAGAGGAAATCAACAAGAAGATGTGGGGAATGTGTTAACTGTCATAAAACAGAGGATTGTGGGAGATGTGATTTTTGCAAGGTTTGTTATTCAGCATGTTTATAATTTATAATTACACAAATTAGAGATTGTTAAGAGCAATATTTCCTGCAAAATTTTTTTTTTAAAGAAATACCTAATATTAATAGCAGTTTTTTGGCTTTTGATTAAAGAAAATTTGCACAAGTACTCTAGTGTTTTAGCATGGTGCGACGCCATGCCCTTTTTAGCTCACCTGGCCCGAAGGGCCAAGTGAGCTTTTCTCATCACTTGGCGTCCGTCGTCGTCCGTCGTCTTGTTAACTTTTTACATTTTGAACTTCTTCAAGAGAACCACTGAATGGAATGAAACCAAACATAGCATGAATGTTCCTTATGAGGTGCTGACCAAGTGTTGAAACTTTGTAGCGGATCCATCAACCAAGATGGCCGCCAGCGGGGGACTTAGTTTAACATAGGACCCTATGGGAAATACATACAAATGTCTTCTTTTAGAGAACCACTGAATGGAATGAAACCAAACATGGCATGAATGTTCCTTATGAGCTGCTGACCAAGTGTTGTTACTTTGAAGCTGATCCATTATCCAAGATGGCCGCCAGCGGGGGACTTAGTTTAACATAGGACCCTATGGGAAATACATACAAATGTCTTCTTTTAGAGAACCACGATGGAATGAAACCAAACATGGTATGAATGTTCCTTATGAGGTGCTGACCGAGTGTTGTTACTTTGAAGCCGATCCATAATCCAAGATGGCCGCCAGCAGGGGACTTAGTTTAACATTGGACCCTATGGGAAATACATACAAATGTCTTCTTTTAGAGAACCACTGAATGGAATGAAACCAAACATGGCATGAATGTCTCTTATGAGGTGCTGACCGAGTGTTGTTACTTTGAAGCCGATCCATAATCCAAGATGGCCGCCAGCAGGGGACTTAGTTTAACATGGGACCCTAAGAGAAATACATACAAATGTCTTCTTTTAGAGAACCACTGAATGGAATGAAACCAAACATGGCATGAATGTTCCTTATGAGGTGCTGACCGAGTGTTGTTACTTTGAAGCTGATCCATAATCCAAGATGGCCGCCAGCGGGGGGACTTAGTTTAACATAGGACCCTATGGGAAATAAAAACAAATGTCTTCTTTTAGAGAACCACTGAATGGAATGAAACCAAACATGACATGAATGTTCCTTATGAGGATCTGACCAAGTGTTGTTACTTTGAAGCTGATCCATCATCCAAGATGGCCGCCAGCAGGGGACTTAGTTTAACATAGGACCCTATGGGAAATACATACAAATGTCTTCTTTTAGAGAACCACTGAATGCAATGAAACCAAACATGGCATGAATGTTCCTTATGAGGTGCTGACCAAGTGTTGTTACTATGAAGCCGATCCATAGTCTAAGATGGCCGCCTTTGGAGGACTTAGTTTAACATAGGACCCTATGAGAAATACATACAAATGTTTTCTTTTAGAGAACCATTGAATGGAATGAAACCAAACATGGCATGCATGTTCCTTTTGAGGTGCTGACCAAGTGTTGTTACTTTGAAGCTGATCCTTCATCCACAATGGCTGCCAGATGGGGACAATGTTTAACAAAGGACCCTATGGACAATACATACAGATGTCTTCTTTTAGAGAACCACATACTGAATGGATTGAAACCAAACATGGCATGAATGTTCCTTATGAGGTGCTGACTAAGTTTTGTTACTTTGAAGCTGATCCTTCATCCATGATGGCCGCCAATGGGGGGACTTTCTTTAACATAAGACCCTAAGGGAAATACATACAAATGCTTCTTCTAGAGGTGCACTGAATGGAATGAAACCAAAACATGGCATAAATGTTTCTTATGAGGTGCTGATGAAGTGTTGCTACTTTGTTGCCGATTTACTGTTCAAGATGGCCACCAGGATTTTTTATTAAATTACAGGACCAATATTAAACCAAATTTGGCCTCACTCATTATTAGGGTATCTGTTATGATTTTAATCTATTTTTACATGATTTCCAAAACCAAAGTAGAATCAGGTGAGCGACACAGGCTCTTGGGAGCCTCTAGTTTTCGGACACCACGCCTTTTTTCTCCCGAAAAATTTGACGCCATGTGCCCTTTTGCGTTATTTGGATCGAGATCGAGTCGCGGTATTGGTTTTTCGCTGATCGAAGGGGGACAACCACAATGAAGCATTGACTAAAGAGTTGGTTGCATTTTATTTCATGAAGACAATTTTTATCACTTCTGCGAGACTCAAGAGCGTACATCAAATCATTCTAACTTTCGGCAAAATAAGTTTGTTACTTCATTAGAAAGTGATGAAAGTTGCCTGAAGTAGATCTGTAATCCATTTATTGCATTAAAAACGTCACATTCCTTTCCAAATTGCGTGCCAAACATCGTTTATTTTAGTAAATTTTCTTCGTCCGCCATTGAAATATTTGTACGAACTACGGATCGGAGTCAGGATTCAGCGGACACGGACCTGCTATGAACGAAATCCGGATTCTTACGAAAATGACTACGGACGCATGAATGGCACAGCTGACAAAAGAATATTGATCCCAAAAGGAAAAATTATGCATTCCACACGCATTAACATACTTTTGGTTAGATCTACTTGATTAATGTATATATTTCCATATATATGCATTTTTAGCTCATCAGGGCCCTTCGGGCCCCATGTGAGCTTATGCCATCACTTGGCGTCCGTCATCTGTCGTCGTCTGTCGTCATAAACTATTTCAAAAATCTTCTCCTCTGAAACTACTGGGCCAAATACCTTCAAACTTTAACTAAATGTTCCTTAGGGTATCTAGTTTATAAATTATATCCGAAGTTTTGATCCATGGACAAACATGGCCACCATGGCTAAAAATAGAACATAGGGGTCAAATGCAGTTTTTGGCTTATATCTTAAAAACTAAAGCTTTTAGAGCAAATCTGACATGGGGTAAAAGTGTTCAATTGGTCAAGATCTATCAGCCCTGAAATTTTCAGACGAATCGAACAACCCATTGTTGGGTTGCTGCCACTAAATTGGTAGTTTTAAGGAAATTTTGCAGTTTTTTGTTATTTTGAATATTATTATAGATAGATATAAACTGGAAACAGCAATAATGTTCAGCAAAGTAAGATCTACAAAAAAGTTAATACGACCATAATTGTCAATTGACCCCTTAAGGAGTTATTGCCCTTTAAAGACAATTTTACACAATTTGTTCATCAAGTTTGCTAACATTTAAAAATCTTCTCCCCCCTGAAACTACTGGGCCAATTACCTTCAAACTTTAACTAGATGTTCCTTAGGGTATCTTGTTTATAATATGTATCCGATGTTTTGATCCATCGACAAACATGGCCGCCATGGCTAAAAATAAAACATAAGGGTCAAATGCAGTTTTTGGCTTATATCTCAAAAACTAAAGCTTTTAGAGCAATTCTGACAGGGGGTAAAAGTGTTCAATTGGTCAAGATCTATCGGTCCTGAAATTATCAGACGAATCGAACAACCCATTGTTGGGTTTCTGCCACCAAATTGGTAGTTTTAACAAAATTTTGCAGTTTTTTGTTATTATCTTGAATATTATTATAGATAGATATAAACTGTAAGCTGCAATAATGTTCAGCGAAGTAAGATCTACAAAAAAGTTAATCTGACCAAAATTGTCAATTGACCCCTTAAGGAGTTATTGCCCTTTAAAGACAATTTTACACAATTTGTTCATCAAGTTTGCTAACATTTAAAAATCTTCTCCTCTGAAATACAGGTGAGCGATTCAGGCTCTTGAGAGCCTCTTGTTTCCATTTATTTATTAATGTTGCTCAACTCTGGGACTATTATACTAATCATTATATTATGTCCCAGCTTAACTTTGTTAAATTTATATATCTATATATATCTTATATATAATGAGAAACACTGAATTTCATGAACATGATATCAGAGTAGTTTTTTTTATTGAATTTTAATTGATGTAACAATTTTCTTTTCCTTTTTGATATAAAATAAAGTTCTTTTTTATTAGTGCTAGATATTTAGTTGGTAGTTTCTGACAAGAGGACTAATATAATTGTACAACTAAATATGATAAACTTAAACAACTTTGAATTTGAACTGTTATATTAATTGTATACCCAGGTATGAATTGAACAATATAAAAAAAATAGGATACATATCATTATGGCCCTTTTTATTATAGTAAAAACGAAACATTATAGGGCCTCAAGCGAATGAGCACTTCTCTTTCAAATCTCACCACTTCTCCCTATCTGTTTCAAAAATAGAAGTCACTTCTCTCTATGATTTTGAAGTAGTGTGAGCCCTGAATATGTGTAAATTACTATTTAATTTATGTATAAAAAAAGAAGATGTGGTATGATTGCCAATGAGACAACTCTCCACAATAGACCAAATGACACAGAAATTAACAGCTATAGGTCACCGTACGGCCTTCAACAATGAGCAAAGTGCCCTCTTTGGTATAGTCGATGCGCAAAGTGCCCTTTTTGTAAAAAATTTACCATACCCTTATTCAGTTCTAGATAAAACACTATACTCTTCATGAATAGTTTGTATATTAAATTAGTTTAAGCTACTGTCTGAAAAAAAATAATTAGAATTACACATAAACTCAGATTCATCCTCAGGAATCATATAATATTGTCTGTGGTCTCATGGTAGCACGCTCGCCTCAAGTGCAGAAAGTTGTGGGTTTAATCCTGACAGAATCAAACCAAAGACTTTAAAATTCAAACCAGAGACTTTACAACTGATATTTTGAGATAAGAGTAAAAGATCTTTTATCTCGGAGTCCCAATAAAATTTCTGAGCAGGATGACATTTTTTACTAGTGACTGTTAACTTGTGAGTTGGCATGAATCTCTTCATGTCTATCAAGTACAAAGCAGGGTATATTCATTTAAAAATTTTTTTTTTATGATGAATGTCTTTTATTAGCACAGAAACATATCTTTCATACATTATATGCATAACATTACATACTTAAAGAGAGAAATAGAGTTTTAAAGGTATAAGAAATTCAAAAATTAGATAAATAACAAACACTTGATTAAATTGAACTCATGAAGTGGACTATCTTTTCAATAAAGCAGAAAAAGACAAAATAATGGTATTTTACTCATTTTATCATTCTGAATATTCATGTAACATTTGCTGCTTGACTTTCAGCAGTCTTTAATCAATCAGAAATTACATGTATAGAGATGTTTTATGATTATTTCAATAATACAGCATGTTATCAATGTTCTTTTAAGTGTCCTCTTTTATACGATTAAAATCAAGATGGAGTAAAACTGAAGGTTATAGTTTTTAGATTGAATTTATATTTTTGCAGTTTTTTTTAATGTGGTCCATTATTGATTAGAAAAAGTAAAAGAAATTCTCATTTCAGGACATGAAAAAGTTTGGTGGAATGAATAGAATTCGACAGAAATGTCGCCTTCGTCAGTGTATTAATTTTGTAAGTTATCTTTTTATGTTATTTGCATCTACTGTAACAAGTCCATTGAAAAAATCATATTGCAGAGAAATGTTGTTTAACACATTTTATGTTTTTATGCTCAAATGAAGATCTGCTAACAAATTGTATCAGACATTACAAATAATTTTTTTCCCCATAAATATTTTGAATTGAAAAAACTAATGTGAGTAAAAGTGTCCAGTTGCTTGGAATATATCACTGATTTGATGTTCATGTACAACTTGTAATTGTGATGTGATCATGGTGATTATATCATTGACTGGGATTATGCTTCAACAATTTTCACTGTGTTTCTTCATGCACAAGAAGTTTTAAAGTGAAAGACTTACAACAAAATACACTGATAATGTAAGATCTGACCAGTCCCTGTTTGAAAAACAGCATTATCATTATCATCTTATTTTTTTAGAGCATACATATTTTTTATTGCAGGGATTAAACATGTCAAATAGTGGTAAAAAACTGGGAAAATCAGCAACGAGAACAGTGGTTGCTGAAACAGAATCAACAAGAACAGAATATCCTGCTGGGTAATAATGACAGGATACATGAATATCTGGGCCAGCTTTGTACTACTTAAATAAAACAACAAATTTTCTTTCTGTTTTTCTACGTTTTGCAGGCATGACGTAGATAATAAACAAATGATCTTTCCTGGCATTTGTTCTAAGTTAGCCACTAATATCTGAGAAAAACAGTTCATTAAATTTTATTTAAGAATTAAATCCTGATAAGATTCTACCACTTCAGCTAGTGTGGAACGACTTTTATCCTTTTGAGACAATTTTGAAATAAAAAGATATGAAAGCTTGCCAAGCATTTTAAACATTGTTAATTTGATTGTTGTGAGTGGAGAAATATTGTATCATAAAAGAAAGGTGGTGGAATCTGTTTTTCTCCTATGATTTTTAGAAGACATGTAGGCAAATTTTTTGATCTAAAAAAAAGTAAGTGTTCAATCTATGTGACTTCATCAGGCATGGTCACCATTTTTTTGTGAATTCACACTTGTTAAAGTAAAGGAAGGCAAGAATACTTGAAATTGAATTTTGACCAATAGAGAACTTTAATAGATCAAACAAACCACATGTTTATCTTTCAAAACTGTATGGTATAGAAAATGAAAGGATATGGAGTAAATGTACATGGGATAAAATCGCACACAATACATAGAAAACATAGAAAATTATCAATGAACAGGGCTTTTATTCCTGTTCTTCATCTTGACAGTTGATGTAGGGTCTTCAACAATGAACGAATCATTCATACCCTACAACAAGGTCAAGATGGCCCCTAGCGTCGACTTAAGCGGTACTATTGATAAAAATAAACCACAGTTCACCTTCTTGCTCCCCACCCGCCTCGGAGTGCCAACTTGTGCGGTGCTTTGTGTACGAAGGGTTCTCCAGTCGAAAGCACCAGGGATACAAGAAAAGTGCAGTAATTTTGAAAGACATCGATGGCCGCTAAAATATGCCTTGAAGTTACACATGTGGGGAGCGGTCAATGAATTACATAATTTATAATTACGGTCGAGGTTTTTCAACATATATTTGTCATACATTGCCCAACAATAGACCAATAATTTCGAAACAACAAATGATAGACAATACATATGAAACTAAAAAACAAATGTAAATGTACATGGGACAAAATCGCACACAATACATAGAAAACATAGAAAATTATCAATGAACAGGGCTTTTATTCCTGTTTTTCATCTTGACAGTTGATGTAGGGTGTTTTGATTTCTAGTGATTTTTCTTTACAAGTTTAAGCAGCTTTTGAATTTGATACCTTCATGCTGAACACAAGATAACATGTTAAAGCAACTTTTTTTTACACCCACACACAAGTACTTACTACAATGAAGAATAATTGATGTTTCATTTCAAATTGAAAAACATCATATTTTTTTTCAGAAATATGTCAAATGATGATTTTGATATGGATGATGAAGACATAGATGTAGATGATTATGTACCACCAATGGAAATGTCAGAAAATGAACAACCAAGAAAGGTATTGATCAATTTCATAAATAATGCAATAAATTCATTCTTTAGAAATCTGTTTCTTAGATAATGCAATAAAGGAGTTGATTCAGCAACCCATAATTTTGGCCCTTAAAATCTGAACTTTTTAAACTGCAATAATGTAGTGAAAACTTGATAAAAACATTTGTTAAAATGTCCAATAGTTTCAGTAAGAGAAGATTTTCTCCAATTGCATCATAAATGTATGTGACTTTCATTTAAACCTGATTTTTAGCATAATTTGGCAAAATTTATGACAGTTTTTTGCAAAATTAACAGTGGCACTACTGCTCTACCACAAATATTATTGCTAAATTATTCTTTATAAACCATATTCTTTACTTTTTAACCAAAATTTCAATGGGCGAGGGGTGGCGCCACATATGAAATCATGAAATAAGGTGATAAAGGTGACAATTTCAGGAAAAATTTACTAAAATGAAATCTCTTCCTATTTCAGGCTAACATGTTTATAATATATGAAGCAGACATACAATTTTTCATCATGCTTTCAAAAATAATACATTCACATTAGATTTACTCAAACAACTAAAGTTTAAAAAATATCACCTTTACAGGGCTGTTAACTGGGTTTACTGGTTCTACTTGTTATCCTTTAGAAATCTGAAGCAGGCCATAATCTTGCCGGCGAAATGACGATTTAAGTCGCCAAAGAATTTTAAAAATGGCTAAATCTCGCCGGCCGACTCTCTTCATGGCGAAGTCAAATCACTATCAAAATCGGTAAAAGGGAGACAACTTGTGATTGACAAGTCTCACAGGTAAAAAAAAATGGCGGCTGACAAGGAACATCAAGATTTTCGAAATGACCCAGGACTAATACTGTCAACGATCAAATTAAATAAATACAACGGCAACTTTGAAAATCCTCGGATATAACTTTCAAAACTATTCAAACGGAAATCTGACCGTCTGTTTAAGTTATCATTTTACGATGATTTTCATCCGAGGATGTTGCGTAATCACTCAGCTGATTTGTTTTTTTTTTATTATTTACACGAGTCGATCAATTTTACTATTCGGTAGGTAAAGGGTGGGAATTAACGGTAGATTTATTATATTGATTGAATAAAAATTGAAATATAAAAGGTAGAAAGACAGCTGATGGATAATGTGATTGCAAACGTACAACACTCGAACAGATTGTGATCAGCAGTGGAATTTTTCTCACGACCATTTCGTTGGATGATATCCTTAAAAAATGATAGAAATTAGCTCTTTATTGGATAATTAATATGCGATTGAAAGATATTTTCATTTATAGGCTTACAATCTTTAACGATAATCTCAATTTACAACTAACATAATGTCCTGGACATTCAATAATGTTTTACAAAATAATGACAAGTGGTGATATAAATTAAATTCCCTGTCGTGTGAAATTCATCAGGTAAACTGGGAGTCATATTTTTTCTGGACTTTTAAAAATAAATTGAGGCAGATGCACATGAATTTAATGCATCATAATCATGATAATATTACTAGGCAACTCCCTCATGTCCCAATCAACAAATTTTATTTAGAACACAATGGTATCAATAAATAAATAACAACTATATATTGTCTAAACCTTTTTATTAAGAACTTTCTATATATACATTGTGTACAATAACATATGAAAAAACTGCAAGTATATCTTTTATTGCATATAAAACAATTTCCTTAGTGATAAGCATGAAAACACGATGCAACCGAAACAGTAATGGAATCTCACTTTTCCAAGAAATTGACCACTTCTCCCTTCTCTCTCATGGAAGGAGAAGTCACTTCTCCCTCTCCAAAATCCTAGATTAGGCCCTGATCTGAAGCAGTTAGTTATGTATTTAATAGGCCATTAAATTATCTAGTTCTAACAACATGCATCAGATGGTAAATTTGTTTTATAGTAGTTTTGTTGTCGAGCCTGCGACTTCTGTCACAGAAAGATTGACATAGGGATAGTGATCCCACGCTGGCGTTAACTTAAAAGCTTAATATTTCAGAAGTTCGAAGATCTGGATGCTTCATACTTTGTATATAAATGCCTTATGTTATGAAGTTTCCGTCTGTCATATGTCCATTGTCCTTGACCTCATTTTCATTGTTCAGTGACTACTTGAAAAAAAAGTAAAGATTTTTTGTAACGTTAATTTCTCTCTTATTATGAGTAATAGGATAACTATATTTGGTATGTGCATACCTTGCAAGATCCTTATGCCTGTCAGACAGTTATCACTTGACCCCGACCTCATTTCATGGATCAGTGAAGAAGGTTAAGTTTTCGTGGTCAAGTCCATATTTTAGATACTATAAGCAATAAGTCTACTATATTTTGTGTATGGAATGATTGTAAGGTGTACATGTCCAACTGGCAGGTGTCATCTGACCTTGACCTCATTTTCATGGTTCAGTGGTTAAAGTTAAGTTTTTGTGTTTTGGTCTGTTTTTATACGCCCGTTTACGGGACGTATTATGGTATACCGTTGTCCGTCTGTCCGTCCGTCCGTCTGTCCGTCTGTCCGTCCGTCTGTCCGTCGTCAACATGTCGGACATTAACTCAAAATTGCTTAAACCAATTTGCATAAAACTTTGGTGAATTGTTTATATCTATTGACGTGAGCTCCCTTTCGTTTTTTATAAAATTTAGATTTTACGTTTCCGAGTTATGGGGTTTTATTCATTAAAAAAAGGGGGATTTTCCAGTTTTCGGACAATAAGTCAAGAATGCTTTCACCAACTTGCAAGAAATTGTGGTGAATTGTTTATATCTATTGACATGAGCTCCCTTTTGATTTTTATAAATTTTAGATTTTACGTTTCCGAGTTACGGGGTTTTATTCATAAAAAAAGGGGGGACTTTCCAGTTATCAGACAAAAACTCACAAATGCTTTCAGCAATTCTTATGAAACTTTGGTGAATTGTTTGTATGTATTGATGTAAGCTCCCTTTAGAATTTTATAAATTTTACATTTTACATTTCTGAGTTATGGGGTTTTATTCATTAAAAAGGGGTGATTTTCCAGTTTTCTGACAATAACTCAAAAATGCTGTCACCAATTCTCATGAAACTTTGGTGAATTGTTTATATCTATTGATGTAAGCTCCCTTTTTATTTTCATAAATTTCTAATATGACATTGAGAATTAATTATACTTTATTTGTTTATAGTCTGACAACAGATTTACTAAGTATTGCACAACAGCAAGAAATCTTTAATTGAACATAAATTCAATTCATATAACCAATTTCAAGTTCTTTGAATACATTTATTCAGACACCTATAATATGTCAAATATTTAATTACAATCCAAATTCAGACCTGAATCAAGCTTGAATATTGTGTCCATTTTTGCCCCAACTGTTCAGGGTTGGACCTCTGCGGGCGTATCTAGCTGCGCTCAGCGAAGCAGTTTTTCTAATACTGTATGCAATAGGTCAACTATATTTGGTGTATGGAAATATTCTACGATCTACATGTCAGTCCGGCATGTTTTATTTGACCTTGATCTCATTTTTTACGGTTCATTGCTCAATGTTAAAGTTTTTGTGTTTTGGTCTGTTATTCTTAAACTATAAACACATGTATGTCTGGCATGTATCCTTTGATGTTGACCTCATTTTCATGGTTCATTGGTCAATATGAAGTTTTCAAGGTTTGGTCTGTTTTTTGTATACTATAAGCAATAGGTCAACTATGTTCGATACACATGTATGGAATGATTGTAAGGTGTACATGTATTTCTGGCTTGGTTTATCTGACCATGACCTCATTTTCTTGGATCATGTTAAGTTTATGTGATACATGTAGTAAAACATAAAATCAATGCTCAGTAAAGCAGGCGAGACATTTCAGTGTGTTCACTCTTATTTTATTAAATACCATGTGATAATATAGGTCAAGTTTGAGTTATGGCAACACAGTTTTTATATAGATATAAGAAGATGTGGTATGAGTGCCAATGAGACAACTCTCCATCCAAGTCAGAATTTATAAAAGTGAACCATTATAGGTCACAGTACGGTCTTCAACACGGAGCCTTGGCTCACACCGAACAGTGAGCTATAAAGGGCCCCAAAAATTACTAGTGTAAAACCATTCAAACGGGAAAACCAACGGTCTAATCTATATAAAAAGCGAGAAACGAGAAACACTTATGAACCACATCAACAAACGACAACTACTGAACATCAGATTCCTGACTTAGGACATATGCCCATTTACTATGGTATTTATTATGGTATACCGTTGTCCGTCTGTCCGTCTGTCGTCAACATGTCGGACATTAACTCTAAAACGCTTTAACCAATTTGCATAAAACTTTGGTGAATTGTTTATATCTATTGACGTGAGCTCCCTTTCGTTTTTTATAAATTTTAGATTTTACGTTTCCGAGTTATGGGGTTTTATTCATTAAAAAAAGGGGGATTTTCCAGTTTTCGGACAATAACTCAAGAATGCTTTCTCCAACTTGTAAGAAATTGTGGTGAATTGTTTATATCTATTGACATGAGCTCCCTTTCGATTTTTATATATTTTAGATTTTACATTTCCGAGTTTCAGGGTTTTATTCATAAAAAAAGGGGGATTTTCCAGTTTTCTGACAAAAAATAAAAAATGCTTTCAGCAGTTCTTATGAAACTTTGATGAATTGTTTATATCGATTGATGTAAGCTGCATTTAGAATTTTATAAATTTTTCATTTATCATTTCTGAGTTATGGGGTTTTATTCATTTAAAAAGGAGGGATTTTCCAGTTTTCGGACAATAACTTCAGCAGTTCTTATGAAACTTTGGTGAATTGTTTATATCTATTGATGTAAGCTCCATTTAGAATTTTATAAATTTTTCATTTATCATTTCTGAGTTATGGAGTTTTATTCATTAAAAAAGGGGGGATTTTCCAGTTTTCGGACAATAACTTAAAAATGCTGTAAGCAATTCTCATAAAACTTTGATGAATTGTTAATATCTATTGATGTAAGCTCCCTTTACATTTTCATAAATTTCTAATATGACATTGAGAATTTATTGAACTTTATTTGTTTATAGTCTGACAACAGATTTACTAAGTATTGCGCAACAGCACAGTGTATTGCACAACAGCAAGAAATCTTTAATTGAATATAAATTCAATTCATATAACCAATTTCAAGTTCTTCGACTACATTTATTCAGAAACCTATAATATGTCAAATATTTAATTACAATCCAAATTCAGACCTGTTATCAAGCTTGAATATTGTGTACATTTTTGCCCCAACTGTTCAGGGTTGGACCTCTGCGGGCGTATCTAGCTGCGCTCAGCGAAGCAGTTTATTTTAATAGGAGGTATGCCAAAAATAAAAAATAAACTGAAAAATTAATTGTGTTTAGGCAACCACTTTTGTTAGCTCACCGGTTCGGGCCCCATGTGAGCTTATGCCATCACTTGGCGTCCGTCGTCATCCGTCGTCTGTCGTCGTAAACTATTTCAAAAATCTTCTCCTCTGAAACTACTGGGCCAAATACCTTCAAACTTTAACTAAATGTTCCTTAAGGTATCTAGTTTATAAATTGTATCCGAAGTTTTGATCCATCTACAAACATGGCCGCCATGGCTAAAAATAGAACATAGGGATCAAATGCAGTTTTTGGCTTATATCTCCAAAACTAAAGCTTTTAGAGCAAATCTGATATGGGGTAAAATTGTTCAATTGGTCAAGATCTATCAGCTCAGAAATTGTCAGACGAATCGAATAACCCATTGTTGGGTTGCTGCCACCGAATTGGTAGTTTTAACAAAATTTTGCAGTTTTTTGTTATTATTTTGAATATTATTATAGATATATATAAACTGTAAGCAGCAATAATGTTCAGCAAAGTAAGATCTACAAAAAAGTTAATCTGACCATAATTGTCAATTGACACCTTAAGGAGTTATTGCCCTTTAAAGACAATTTTACACAATTTGTTCATCAAGTTTGCTAACATTTAAAAATCTTCTCCTCTGAAACTACTGAGCCAATTACCTTCAAACTTTAACTAAATATTCCTTAGGGTATCTTGTGTATAAATTGTATCCGAAGTTTGTATCCATCGACAAACATGGCCGCCATGGCTAAAAATAGAACATAAGGGTCAAATGCAGTTTTTGGCTTATATCCCAAAAACTAAATCTTTTAGAGCAAATGTGACATAGGGTAAAATTGTTCAATTGGTCAAGATCTATGGGCCCTGAAATAATCAGACGAATCGAACAACCCATTGTTGGGTTGCTGCCACCGAATTGGTAGTTTTAATAAAATTTTGCAGTTTTTTGTTATTATTTTGAATATTTGATTTTAATTTATATGTATCATTTCAGTTACATCACCTCTTATGCCTCTCATGGCCCTCAATACATCAGTTGTTCTGCTTCTCATGACCCTAAATACATCACCAGGTTCAAATATTGGTTTTGTAAGAAGGCAAGACAATTCTGCTACACATTATTTAGAATGGGATGAACACTGGACATAAAAAAAGGACAATTTGTACTTTGTATTGAGTTGAAATAATTTTTAAATTACAAATTTGTGTTCTTTTAAGTTTGTTTCCGTTCTCTAACTATAGTTTGCCTCAACCAAATGTTATGAAAATTATACACAATGCTTATTACCACAAAACACAGATTAAGTTCGAAATTGGGTGGCATCACTTTTACGGTTCTTTAGTTATGCCCCTTTATAAACATAAAAATTGCTGAATATTTTATTTCCGTTCTCTAAATTTAGTTCGCCTCAACCATATGTTATGAAACTTATACACAATGCTTATTACCACAAAACTCAGATCAAGTACAGATTTGGGTAGCGTCACTTTTACCGTTCTTCAGTTATGTCCCTTTATATCTTTATATGATATGCAAGCGGGGGCATCATCTGTGTCCCATGGACACATTCCACATTTATCTTGTTTTAGAATGAAAGATTATTAAAACTGCCAATTTTGGTTCTTTAGTTTTGCATTTATATTTCACATAAAATGAGACGGCATGAGGAATGCATATAGGCTACATATGTGAAGAATATTTTACAATCTAACATTGACCACAGTATTGTGTCATTCCAGTGAGTGATCTGGCTTCCAAGGAAAGCAAGATTACAAAAAAATCATCATAAATATCATTCTTTGTTTAAGTTCCTGGATTTAGCCCACCACCAAGGGTTAATTTTTTAACATTGCATGATTTATGCCTCTTGAAAAGTTATTCCTTTCAGGATTAAATATTCTCTTTGTTTTAACCTCAAGCGTTCATAATTGAAGGTATCACAAAGATAACTCTTGTTCCCAGGAGTTAAACCAATAAAAGAAAGAGTTTTTGTGTAGTTAAAAATGTAGAATATTTATATATGTACACATTAAAGTCATGTTGAATTCTTGGAGTACTGTTGATCATGGCAATTTTTATCTGTTTATTATGAATATGGACAAGAAAATATCAGTATACTAAGTTGTTTTTGTTTTATAGAAAAGAGGCAGAAAAAGAAGCTCTTCTGAGTCAACACCATCTCCAAAGAAAAAGTATAAAAAGAGAGGACGCAAGGAGAAAGAAAAGGTTATTAATAAGTTAGCATATTACGCCATTCAGGAGTATTATTAGTTTGCCCCTACTGAATGTGTGGTTCCATCTGCATTCATGTTCAAATACATAAATCCATACAAGTGCTTATATTTGTCAGACTTCAGAACTTTGTATATAAGTATGATTAAAGAGATTGTATATGCTCAAACACTTGCATGAGTTCTATAGCAATGTATATGGCTACTTTGAATGTAACAAAAATGCATTATACAAAAAAAATATAATTTTTTCATGTGTATATCATTTAATGGAACTACAAAATTGTCCAGGAAAAACCATTGTACATTAAGATTGAAGATAGTATAAACATTGTCTACAGGTGAATTTAGATTTTATTTATATTTTATATGGCAGAAAACAAAAGATAAGAGTTCATCAGTTCATCATCACAAAAAAAATCGTCATATGGAGATTGAAGATGTACGAGAACAACACCATGATGAAGATGAGCCAAAACAGTGCTATGGACCTGGTTGTATAGAGGCAGCAAGACCTCACTCTAAATACTGCTCAGATAATTGTGGAATGAAATTAGCTAAAAGGTAATACAGAAATCAGACGAGACTGAAACTCATACATTTTTGGTTCATTTATTATTCTGATGGTCAAACAATGGACAAAAATGGCATCCATGTCCAATGCACAATGTAAAAACAATATTGTCATCATTGCAATATTTACAATGTTAACACGATATCTTGTCAACATCGTTAACATCACGATGTATACAATGTAGTAACCATTTCTTGTTTACATTGTTTACATCACGATATTAACAATGTTAACACAAATTGTGTCAATATCTTTATCATTGTAAGAACTCTTATACTGTTTACATCATTCACATTGTTAACATCGCATTATTAACAATGTTTACTTGATATTGTGTCAACATCATTAACATTGTAAGAACTCTTATATACTGTTTACATGGTTGACATCGTTAACATCGTGATGAATACAGTGTAGTAACGATATTGTGTTTACATCGCGATATTAACAATGTTTACACGATATTGTGTTAACGTCGTTTACATTGTAAAAACTATATACTGTTTACATCGTTGACATTGTTAACATGGCAATGTTTACAATGTAGTAACAATATAGTGTTACATCACAATATTAACAAAGTTTACATGATATCGTGTCAACATCATTTACATTGTAACAACTCTTTTATACTGTTTACAATGTTGACAATGTTAACAATGCGATACTTACAATGTATTATCAATATCGTGTTTACATCGTTCACATTGCAGTGTTCACGATATCATATCAACATCATTTATATTTTATGAACTCTTGTATACTATTTACATCGTTTACATCATGATATTTACAATGTATTAATGATATCAGGTTTACATCGTTTACATTTATGGCTAATTATAGGAGGTATTGCCAATAAAAGGCAACTTTCCTTGTTAATTTTTCAATTATTGCTTATCAAACAATTATATCAAATTTTAAAAGTGTAAACAAAAATCAATTATTTTTGGCAGTAATATGGCAGTTAAAATGCCTAAAGAACATAACTGTTTCATGAATATACATGTAAGTATTTTAATTACATGAATTTATTTTTTTTTATTTTTTAGTTTCTTATGCATAATAAACAAAATAATTATTAATTCATACCGTTGAATTAATAATTAGTGAAGGTATTGTCATTAACATAAGCTTAGCTAGGGGACTCACACTTTGATTTTTTTTCTATTTCTTACAAGATGAGAACAATGTAAACACTAAGGTATTGACTCGGTAAACAATATAAACAGGATGTTGACATGACATTGTCTTCATCACAATGTTGACGATGTGAACTATATAAACACAAAGGACCTGGTATACAATATAATCATAGTGTTGACACGATATTTTCAACATCGCGTTGTGAACAATGTAAACACAAAGGTAAAGACTCAGTATACAATATAAACACTTTGTTGACACGATATTGTCAATTTTGCAATGTCTACAATGTAAACGATGTAAACACAAAAGTATAGACTAAGCATACAATATGACCACATTGTTGACTCGCTATTGTCAACATCGCGATGTCTACGATGTAAACACAAAGGTGTTATAAAATATAAACACTTTGTTGACTCACTATTGTCAACATCTTGATGTCTACAATGTAAGCAATATAAACACAAAGGTATAGACTAAGCATACAATATGAACACAATGTTGACTGGCTATTGTCAACATCATGATGTCTACTATGTGAACAATATAAACACAAAGGTATTAGACTTGATTTACAATATAAACATGATGTTGACTCGCTATTGTCAACATCGGAATGTCTACTATGTAAACAATGTAAACACAAGCCATAGATACAATACACAGTAAACACAATAAAGACATGATACAGTAGACATTGCAATGTTGACAATATCGATAAAACATTGTGCACTGGACATACTTCAAAAATGGGAGATTTATTATTATGATTTCATGGAAAGTTTAATAAAGTAATCCTTTCAAAAATTTAAGATGCAAATTTTTATTTTTGTGAAACATGTTTGGTCACAATTATTACAATGATAAAAAAACACAAAAAATTCTTAAAATGACAAGATGTGGAAGTTATTTAATAGTCATTTTTATGCCCTCATGACCAATAGTCCAGTAAGTTATCATGCAATTTGCCTGACCCGAGTCAATTGCAATTCTAGTTTACTTTTGTCATTACATTATGAAGTAAACATGCAGTTATGATGACTTATTACGCAATGAATAGAATTTTCAGTTAGTGTTTTTACATCAGTCCCACATTCATCAAGAAGAATTGTTAATTGGATATGGCACTAAACATTCACATGTTTTTTTTTTTCCTTTTAACATTGCAAAACTTGAGCAGGAAGTTTGAAAGGAACAACAACAATAAATCATAACTAGTGCAGGGCATCAAATGTATCTGTCAGATTCAACTATATTAAGTTGTACTTATCACTGTTTACCAAATTTAATGTTTGCTGCACTATATTCAAGCTACCATGAGCCTTTATCTTTGTCTAGTTTTTAAACTTATTCTATAAATCGTGCCAGATTAATGGATTGACTTTAGTTTCAACTGATAGTCAATTGTGATATGTCTTTGTACATTGACCCTTAAGAGAAGTATAAAATTTTTATTTGTCCAACCTATTTTTTTCTGGTGTGACTATAAACTCACATATATGTACCCCAGTGTTTTGCCGAAATAAAAGTTAAGATTAAGGTTTGGTTGTGAACCTGTTTACCTACTGCTGTCAGAACTAAGGTACTTGGACTATTTGAAATAATTTTGGATGTTGGACTTTTAAAATTTTATAAAATATGTAGCCTTTACCTTTCATTGCAGTAACTGTGAAAAATAATCAGAATTTTGGTTTGTGTTTGTGTGTTGACCGACTACTAATGGAATTACAGCAGTTGAAATATTTCCAAATATGGGTTTAGAGTTTTAGGACATTCATTGTTATAAGTCATGATGTATTTTACATATTTAATTTTTTTAATTGTTTCTTGATGTACATTCTACCAGTAAGAGAATTTTTCTTTTCAGTCGTATATATGAATTATTACCTCCAAAGATACAGCAGTGGCAGAATAGCCCTTCTATATCAGAAGAAAATAATAAACGGTCACTGGAGAAGATTCGCCGTCAGCAGTTAGAAACTAGAAAGAGAATTGGAGAACTTGATCTCAGGCATCAAGAATTAGATGCTATTGTTGAAAGGGCAAGACATGCTATTATTAATGAACAAGATGTTAGTAATATTTTATTTAGCAATTTGAAATGTGAATTATCACAAAATTTTATTTCCCATTAGCAATGCAACCAATGCCACTAGTGGAGCAGAACCTGCTTACCCTTTTGAAGCACCTGGGATCATCCTTAGATTTTTAGTGGGGTTGTGTGCTCATTCAATAGTTTTCTGTGAAGTTTTTTGTACTGTTATTTTTTTGTTATTTTGTAGTTTTTCTTTTTAGCCATGGTACATGTATATTCTGTTTTTCTTTTTAGTCATGGTATAGTCTGTTTTTCTTTTTAGCCATGGTATAGTCTGTTTTTCTTTTTAGCCATGGTATAGTCTGTTTTTCTTTTTAGCCATGGTATAGTCTGTTTATCTTTTTAGCCATGGCATAGTCTGTTTTTCTTTTTAGCCATGGTATAGTCAGTTTTTCTTTGTAGCCATGGCATAGTCTGTTTTTCTTTTTAACCATGGTATATTCCGTTTTTCTTTTTAGTCATGTATTGTCTGTTTTTCTTTTTAGCCATGGTATAGTCTTTTTATCTTTTTAGCCATGGCATAGTCTGTTTTTCTTTTTAGCCATGGTATAGTCAGTTTTTCTTTGTAGCCATGGCATAGTCTGTTTTTCTTTTTAACCATGGTATATTCTGTTTTTCTTTTTAGTCATGTATTGTCTGTTTTTCTTTTTAGCCATGGTATAGTCTGTTTTTCTTTTTAGCCATGGTATAGTCAGTTTTTCTTTTTAGTGATGGTATAGTCTGTTTTTCTTTTTAGCCATGGTATAGTCTGTTTTTCTTTTTAGTCATGGTATAGTCTGTTTATCTTTTTAGCCATGGCATAGTCTGTTTTTCTTTTTAGCCATGGTATAGTCAGTTTTTCTTTGTAGCCATGGCATAGTCTGTTTTTCTTTTTAACCATGGTATATTCTGTTTTTCTTTTTAGTCATGTATTGTCTGTTTTTCTTTTTAGCCATGGTATAGTCTGTTTTTCTTTTTAGCCATGGCATAGTCTGTTTTTCTTTTTAGCCATGGTATAGTCTGTTTTTCTTTTTAGTCATGGTATAGTCTGTTTATCTTTTTAGCCATGGCATAGTCTGTTTTTCTTTTTAGCCATGGTATAGTCAGTTTTTCTTTGTAGCCATGGCATAGTCTGTTTTTCTTTTTAACCATGGTATATTCTGTTTTTCTTTTTAGTCATGTATTGTCTGTTTTTCTTTTTAGCCATGGTATAGTCTGTTTTTCTTTTTAGCCATGGTATAGTCAGTTTTTCTTTTTAGTGATGGTATAGTCTGTTTTTCTTTTTAGCCATGGTATAGTCTGTTTTTCTTTTTAGTCATGGTATAGTCTGTTTATCTTTTTAGCCATGGCATAGTCTGTTTTTCTTTTTAGCCATGGTATAGTCAGTTTTTCTTTGTAGCCATGGCATAGTCTGTTTTTCTTTTTAACCATGGTATATTCTGTTTTTCTTTTTAGTCATGTATTGTCTGTTTTTCTTTTTAGCCATGGTATAGTCTGTTTTTCTTTTTAGCCATGGTATAGTCAGTTTTTCTTTTTAGTGATGGTATAGTCTGTTTTTCTTTTTAGCCATGGTATAGTCTGTTTTTCTTTGATTTATGATTTTTATTGTCCCCTTGGTATCTTTTGCCTCTTTTTGTTGAAACATTTAATATTAATGGCTTTGTACTATCAATCTTTGTACAAATACACACTGACAAACCATTATATTCCTTAGGAAATAATTCTCCAACAGTTCCATCTACCAAACGGAACCTTTCAATTATTTTCAAGTTGTTTTTCTTGAATATGCAGGTAATATTTGGCATTGCACACATGTGTAAAGCAACTTTCAATTAATCAATCATTTATATTGGAGATTTGGTGTAAAACATCATCAGTGAGTCAGCTTTGCTATCTATGAAAGGCCACAAGACATTAATGTGAATATACATGTTTGTTTTCAACATTGAATACAATACCACTCTACTGATTCTAATGATGTAGCCATGGGGATGCAATCACCCTTCTCCATTTGTAAGGACAAGGTTACGTTTGTACAGTAGTATTCCATTCAAACAACTGATTTGCTGAATGAATGGCCTGATTTCATGTCTTCCAAATGCTAAATACTCTGATCTTTTGGGACATATCTGGTTAATACTAAAGGTAGTGCAAGTGATAAAGTTGTATTTTCATAAGAACGAAAAAATAGGGAATTTTTATGGGATCAATTTTGCAGTATCTGCAAAAAATGTGAACATGTTGTAAAAAATAAAACCCTGAGAAAAAAAGTATTTGTATTATTAGTCACATTATTCATGTTATTATTATCTTGAAACCTATTTTTTATAATTAATTATAACTTTTCATTTGTTGCTATAGCCAACTGAAGAGGATGACACAGAGTTAAGTGTTTATTGTGTTACATGTGGTGTAGAGCTTAATCAGAAAGGAGCCTTACGTCATATGGAAAAATGCTTTGCCAAGGTATGGTGTTTTTTTTTTAAATTAAGATCAATTTGGGGAGGGGAAGGGATATGAGTGGATGTAAATAATAACAAAAGATGAACTAAACAGCTCACACTTTACAGCTTGATCAATAGGGCTCCTAGTCTACAATTAAGTCATACTCTTTGATATTCATACTATCTGCTCCAAATATCTTGAGCATTTTCATCTTATGTAAAGTTTCTTCATTTTGAAATTAAAAAATTGCAGATGAAAGTTAGGTGGTAAATCTGTTTAAATTAGAAAAAACATAAAATATGACCACTGAAGTACTATGAACAAACATCCCACAGTTGAAATATTTTCTTTATTTCTTTAGTTTGAAGCCCAGACATCATTTGGATCTATATACAAGACAAGGATAGAAGGCAATTCTATGTTTTGTGACTTCTACAATATTCAGCAAAAAGTGTATTGTAAAAGGCTTAAAGTATTATGCCCAGAACATACCAAGGAACCCAAGGTAGGTTAAAGATGAGCAGTGAGTGTTTGAAATAGATTTAGGTTCATTTTTAGCTCACTTGGCCCCGAAGGGCCAAGTGAGCTTTTCTCATCACTTGGGCGTCCGTCGTCCTTTGTCGTCGTCGTCGTTAGCTTTTTACAAAAATCTTCTCCTCTGAAACCAATGGGCCAAATTTAACCAAACTTGGCCACAATCATCATTAGGGTATCTAGTTTAAAAAATGTGTCCGATGACCCTGCCAACCAACCAAGATGGCCGCCATGGCTAAAAATAGAACATAGGGGTAAAATGTAGATTTTGGCTTATATCTCTGAAACCAAAGCATTAAGAGTAAATCTGACATAGGGTAAAACTGATTATCAGGTCAAGATCTATCTGCCCTGAAATTTTCAGACAAATCTGACAACCTGTTGTTGGGTTGCTGCCCCTGAATTGGTAATTTTAAGGAAATTTTGCAGTTTTTAGTTATCTTGAATATTATTATAGATAGAGATAAACTGTAAACAGCAATAATGTTCAGCAAAGTAAGATCTACAAATAAGTTGTCATGACCAAAATTGTCAGTCGACCCCTTTAGGAGTTATTGCCCTTAATAGTCAATTTTTAACAATTTTTCGTAAATTTTTGTAATCTTTTACAAAAATCTTCTTCTCTGAAACTGCTGAGACAAATTTAACCATACTTGGCCATAATCATTATTAGGGTATCTAGTTTAAACAAAATTATGACCCCGCCTTCCAACCATCATGGCCAACTTGGTTAAAAATAGAACATAGGGGTAAAATGCAGTTTTTGGTTTATATCTCTGAAACTAAAGCATTTAGAGTGGCAAAAATGTCATTTTTAGGAGTGAAAATTTTAAAAGTTCAAAGCCCGTAATGTCATCAAAAAATCAGCATCGCGGAACTAAATGAAACTCTATCTGTAATTCATGATAGTAGACTCACATACTAACAATCAGCTCAATATGTGAAGGGTTTTAGAAAAAAAGTCCATAAGTTCAAAGACCGTAATTTCGGCAAAAATCAGCAGGGCAGAACCAACGTAAACTCAATCTGTAACTCATCCTGTTTGTCGATAGTTTGAACTTTCACAACACTTATTATCCAATGAAATTTTCCCCCAACTTTTCTTGGCTTCTATGGAAGGGAATGATTTTATATTTGGTCTGCAGCTTGATAATGTTGAATTGTAGCTTGTAAGAAATTTGAACATCTGCCATGCAGCCACTTCCTGTTTGCTGATAGTTTGAAATTTTACATATTTTTATTGTACAAAGAAAATGAAAGGGAATGATCAGGTATGCTTCAGTAAACATATTACCTCAATCAATTGCATGCAGCGATGCAGGTCCAGTGTCCAGTATTGGTCTTGTTTAAAATGGGGATCATCGACTTCCATGAATATCGGGCTTTTTGCTTGTTAATTTTACTGTTTGTACATGTACCGTAACTGCCAACTTGTGACAGTATGATATGTGTGTGTTCTGTGTGTCACTCTTGTAGATAGATATGTGAGTTATTTATATTTGCTAGCAATATATTCAGTTTATATTATTAAAATACCTGTATATAAAAACTGAAATACAATTTTTGCTTAGGCACAGGATTAGCATCACATAAATTAGAACTCTGATTTCAAAGTCTGATAATTTCACTTGTATGTATATCTATGTAGATTTAATCATTCTGTTATTTACTTGTTACAGGTAGGTACAGAAGAAGTTTGTGGTTGTCCCATAGTCACCAATGTGTTTGAAGAAACTGGTGAATTCTGTAGGGCAGCGAAAAGAAAATGTAATAAACATCTATGTTGGGAAAAGTTACATCGAGCAGAGATTGACATGGAGAGAGTTAGACAGGTAATATAGCTGTTCATAAAATTGGATAATTAAAACATTTTGTAAATTTCAGATATAATTCATAGTAGAGCCACAAAGGTCTTAATTTGGTCCTAAAAACTTAACGTTATATTATCCTATGTAACACCTTATTTTACAACCATAAATATTGGAATTTACATGATTAACCAAACCCTTTTTATACGCCCGTTTACAGGACGTATTATGGTATACCGTTGACCGTCTGTCCGTCCGTCTGTCCGTCCATCCGTCTGTCCGTCCGTCCGTCGTCAACATGTCGGACATTAACTCAAAAACGCTTTAACCAATATGCATGAAACTTTATTGAATTGTTTATATCTATTGACTTGAGCTCCCTTTCGTTTTTTATAAATTTCAGATTTACCGTTTCTGAGTTTTGGGGTTTTATTCATTAAAAAGGGGAGATTTTCCAGTTTTCTGACAATAACACAAGAATGCTTTCACCAACTTGCAAGAAATTTTGGTGAATTGTTTATATCTATTGACATGAGCTCCCTTTCGATTTTTATGAATTTTAGATTTTACGTTTCCGAGTTACAGGGTTTTATTCATAAAAAAAGGGGGATTTTCCAGTTTTCTGACAATAACTTAAAAATGCTTTCAGCAGTTCTCATGAAACTTTAGTGAATTGTTTATATCTGTTGATGTAAGCTCCCTTTAGAATTTTATAAATTTTAGATTTTACATTTCTGAGTTATAGGGTTTTATTCATTAAAAAAGGGGGGATTTTCCAGTTTTTCGACAATAACTCAAAAATGCTTTCATCAGTTCTCATGAAACTTTGGTGAATTATTTATAGCTATTGATGTAATCTCCCTATTGATTTTCATAAATTTCAAATATGACATTAAGAAGAAATTGAACTTTATTTGTTTATTTACTTAGTATTGCGCAACTGCACAGTGTATTGCACAACAGCAAGAAATCTTTAATTGAATATAAATTCAATTCATATAACCAATTTCAAGTTCTTTGACTACATTTATTCAGAAACCTTTAATATGTCAAATATTTAATTACAATCCAAATTCAGACCTGTATCAAGCTTGAATATTGTGTCCATTTTTGCCCCAACTGTTCAGGGTTGGACCTCTGCGGGCGTATCCAGCTGCGCTTAGCGAAGCAGTTTATTTTGTCTGCTGGTTGTTTTATCCATGATCATGATGATAGCTTTAAAGGTATATTTTATTTTATGGTATTTCACTATTGCCTGTCTATATGCAAATTGTAAGGGTAATTTCCTTCTATAAGACATTGACCACACCTTTAGACCAAAATATATTTGTAATGCAAAGATGTATATGGATAAGATACACATCCTAACAAAATAATCATGTGGCCAATGTTGTTTGAAGCAAAAATAAGGAAAATTTTGACAAAATTGTGATTTTCTCCATAAAAATTAGCAGTCAGACATCATAAGTGTTCTTATACATCAGAGCTTGTTAATTTTGCATGTATCAGATATTTTTACATATTTTGTCATCCTACTATATTTTTATTGAAGTTAAATATAACGGAATTATAGGGCCAATATTGACCCTTCATGAACCTATTCCTTTTGTTATGTTACTGATATTGAACTTTGCTATAAAATCAAGGTTTAAGTATTTTCATTTTCATTTTCTAGAAATGTTAAAATTTACTGTACTATTGTTTCATTAATTTTTGGAAACCATGATTTATTTATGAAATGAGAACTTTCCTCAATAGCTTCATTTCACATTTGGGAAGATAGCACTTATTATGCGATAGAGTTCTGTTTAATTGCCCAAAAGGGGATTAATTATTAATATGTTCCATTTTTAATTTGAAGAATAAAGGTAACAATTTTTTTACGACCGCAAAAAATTTTGCAGTCGTATATTGGTATTGTGTCGTCGTCGTCCGAAAAACATTTGGTTTCCGGACAATAACTATAGTATATGTAAATAGAAATCTATGAAATTTTAACACAAGTTTTATAACCACAAAAGGAAGGTTGGGATTGATTTTGGGGTTATGGTCCCAACAGTTTAGGAATTAGGGGCCAAAAAGGGGCCCAAATAAGCATTTTTCTAGTTTCCAGACAATAACTTGTGGAAAGTTGTATGGATCTCTCTGAAATTAGACCACAAGCTTCCATACCACAAAGGGATGGTTAGGATTGGCTTTGGAGGGTAGTGGCTCAAACCATTTAGGAATAAGGGGCAAAAAAGGGGGAAAATCAAGGGTTTCCTGGTTAATGGACAATTACTTAAAAGTACAATGTTAAGTTTGGATTACCTCCCTTACACTGCTTTTAAATTATGTATAAAATGTTGTATTGTCTTGAGGTGATTGGCTGTCAATTTATTTTTAGAAGTTACTATTAAAAATGCTGATTAAGGAATATTAATTTTAGCCATGATTATGTATGTCATTTTCTATTTTAAGACTTTTATGATGGATTTAAATGGGTAATTATGGTTGCAAACTCCATTGGAAATTTGAATTGAGATTATGACCATATCTTGAGGGAAAGAATTTTTTCTTTTTGGAAAAAGGGGGGTGGGGGTAAAAAAGAAATTGTGAGGGTGGGGGACAATTTTTTTCTCATTTCAGATTTCAATTATTAAAAAGAACATTTCTTCAAATTTTTTATTTTTTTTTGCAAAAATAAGGGGAGGGGGGGTGGTCAATTCGCAACAGCATAGTGTATTGCACAAAAGCAAAAAATTGAATATAAATTCAAATCATATAACCAATTCTAAGTTCTTTGACTACAGTTATTCTGTGTCAGAAACCTATTATGTGTCAAATATTTAATTACAATCCAAATTCAGACCTGTATCAAGCGCGAATATTGTGTCCATTTTTGCCCCAACTGTTCAGGGTTGGACCTCTGCGGTCTTATCCAGCTGTGTTAGGCGAAGCAATTTATTTGTTGTTTAAAACTATGAGGTTCTATATGAAGATTATTAAGGGGAAATTCATACTTTCATGGATAAATTTTATGCAGGACATTATTCAGATCAATCAAATTCAGGAAAATGAAAATACAAATGTACCTGTTCATGTGTTCTTGATAGTTCACAAGACAATGCTAGTTGATTACTTTGATTTTCTCCTAATGAATTGAACACATTTTTCAAAAGTTATCTCCCTTTACCTACAGGTTATTTCATTCATGTTAATTTACAATTCTGTTATTTCTAAATGTAATAAAATTTATAATTTTAAGAAAAGGACATTTAAACTCTTAGCTTTTAAAACATGATCCTGACTAACAAAGTAAGCCAAATCCATTGATGCTCAGTTTAGTAATTGACATGTATAGTGATATTTATTTATTCAGTTTTATATGTAATATGTTATCTTTTGCAGTGGTTGAAGTTGGATGAGCTGTTTGAACAAGAGAGAAACATCAGAGTTGCCATGTCTAATCGTGTTGGTGTTCTTGGTTTAATGTTACACCAGACAATTGACCATGATCCATTGAACCCAATCAAAGTACCCACAATGCAATAAAACATTATGTGTCATAAATGAAGTCATATTGTCAAATGAAACCCATTTCTTGTTGTATATAAATAAAGTTTGTTATGTTGTAGATTATTATACAATATATAAAAAAAATTATTATGAAATTTTCTGTGTTTTCCCTGTTTATAGTTCCTTGCTTCTAGCAAATAGTTCAAGGAATTAGTAGTTGTCTTGACTGTTACAATCACAATGCTATTTAAGATTCCATTAAAACTACTTAGTGTGCAAACTCCATCATACAGGAGGAGAATATAATCTACTTGGGGACAAAAGAATACTGTGAAAGTACTTTTATTATTGGGTATCAATTTTTGTGGTTTGAGCAAAAGTTGCATGTTTGTGGGTTCTTAAATTTGTGGATTTTAGTTTTTTAAAAGAAAAAAAAAAATGGGTGGAGAATGTGCAGCCATCTAAAATGAAAACTCATGAAAATAATCATTTGTTGTTTTATGATAATTTCTGGGTCATAGCAAAATAAGGTGTTCATTTTCACCTACTTGTTCTTGTTCGTCTTTCATTACCGACAACATTCATCAAACTTTTAAAAGGATAATTGTTTTCTGAAATAAGCCGATTCATTTATTCTTACAAATGTTCTCGATTGAAGGAAATTGCAAAGTAAACATTTGAATTGTTGCACACGTGTAATCAGAAGTGATGACACTAATTTACACGAGATTGTTTGATCAACAGATTAACGATCACCAAAGGTGTTAATTGGGCCATAAACATCTTCTTATGAAATAAAAAATAGCAAGCCCTTAATTAAATTATTTATTTTTCTTATGAAAATTATGAGGAGATAAAATGAACACATCATCATTGCATATCATCACCGGAAGTCTGACTTTGATCAATCAAAACTTATTTTTCATGAGAATTAAAAGATTAAATGTCGTACAGTTTAGGTTTTAAAAGATTAAATGAACAGAAGCCTGTCAGAAGTTGCAACTTTTGTTCATAGTGTGTTTGCTGATATTCGATGCAGTCAAACCTACGGTAATGGGGATCGTTTCATGTCCTGATTTGGACAACAGTTCTTAGATTTCGTTGGACACTTAAATTCGTGGATAAAACCATCCACGAAAACCACGAAAATTGGTACCCCACGAATAAAAGTACTTTCACAGTAGGTCATATTTAGATGGAGGATACTAGGACCAGTTGAAGTTAACAGCAGCTTTCTGGTTATGAATTAGTATTACTTGAGACTAAGGATAATCAAGTTTTCATGTGAAGAGTTGAGGACTACCTTAAATAAAATAAAGAATTTGAGATGTGACCATTTGCTGTTTTTCTTCTTCTTTGATTTTACATATTATTCCATTAGATACATAGAGCGTAACATCCAAAAATATAATTTTGACAATTAATGAATGGATCAACTTGCTTCATACTCATCCATGACATATTTATGCTGCTTATATTTTTTGTTTCTCGTGAAAATGAGGCCAAGGTCATATGAACACTGATAGACAGACATTTACACCTTATAATAATTCCATACACCAGATTTAATTGACCTATTGCTTATAGTATCTGATAAACTGACAAAACCAGAAAATTTCAACATGGACCAATGATCAATGAAAAAAAGGTCAAGGTCATATAAAACCTGTCAGACAGAAATAAACACAAGACAATCATGCAATTCACAAAATAGAGTGGCCCTATTGCTTATAGTATCTAAGAAGTAGATCAAACCACAAAAACTAAACATTGTCTAGTGGACCATGAAAATGAGTCAAGGTCAAATGAAACATACCAGTCGGATATGTACAACTTACAATCATTTTATACACCAAATATAGTGGCCCTATTGCTTTAAGTATCTGAAAAAAAGACCACACCACAAAAACTAAATATCTACCACTGATCCATGAAAATAATGTCAAAGTCGGATGAAACCTGCCAGTCGGACATGTACACCTTACAATCATTCTATACACCAAATATAGTTGACCTATTACTGCATGGTTTAAGCTAGGATTTTGAGGGCTTTTGCACGAGATGAAAATCAACATTATTTTGGGTAACAGCAAGGGATCAAGAATGTATTCATATAACTAGCTATACATCTTTGTCAGACTTTGAAGGTAAAATGCGAAAATATTTTTACACTTTCCAAATTTAAGTGACAAAATTGATTTGAAATACTTTCGTCATTTTGAAAACAGTTTCGTAAATTACCAAAGTGACGAGCGCTAGCAAAATCACTGCCATATACCAAATATAGTTATCCAATTACTCATAATAATAGTATTTCACATGACAAAAAAACTAATTGAGGTCAAGGACAATGGACGTGATTCTTTAAAAACAACTTAACAGTTATTTTGTGACAAAAAAAATTGCCTAGTTTTGACAACTTAAGTCCCTTTAGTTTGAATAAACTAATTAGACAATTAAAAAGTTGATAAGGATTCGTTTAAAGATACTCAAGTTATTGGGATGTGTGCCTTGATGGACAACCGTATATCATAATATGTCGTTCATTTTTAGCATCATTATTAGTGGAGAAAAAGTTCGGGAAAAAATTCCAAGATCACATGGGGGTAAATGATGATACTTTTAAGAATATAGAAATACAATATTTCAAGATTATATTTTTTATTTCAAAATTCCAAAACAAAATCTTTTAAAGTTTTTTCAAATTGTGGTGTTACATATTCTGACAGCTCCTCTAATGTCACCCATTTATAGTCCAGTATTTCTTTATCCTTCAAATCAACATTCCCATCCTTGAATTCAGCTCTATAGATAAATATCTGAAAAAGAAAGCTTGGTCTATAATGATGCATGTCTTAAGCTTTTAACAAGCATTCTCAGAGTAATGCACGCAATACATAGTCCCCTACCGTTTAAAAATTCATTGTACTGGAACAAAATGCATACTTGATCTATTACTTGTCATGGTGTAAACTATATAACAAACATCAAGTCAATATCTTCAAGCATGACGAAAAAGTGTGGAAAACTGATTATTTAAGTGAATTTTCGAAGTCCAAGGACCATAACTCTGCACAAAATCATCACACCAGAACAAAATTCGAACTTGATCTGTAACTTGTCATGATAAAACTATAAACCAATTATCAAATCAATATCTTCAAGCATAATGAAAACAAGAGGCTCTCAAGAGCCTGAATCGCTCACCTGTATTGCAGAGAAGATTTTTAAATGTTAGCAAACTTGATGAACAAATTGTGTAAAATTGTCTTTAAAGGGCAATAACTCCTTAAGGGGTCAATTGACAATTTTGGTCATATTAACTTTTTTGTAGATCTTACTTTGCTGAACATTATTGCTGCTTAGTTTATATATATCTATAATAATATTCAAAATATAAACAAAAAACTGCAAAATTTTGTTAAAACTACTAATTCCGTGGCAGCAACCCAACAATGGGTTGTTCGATTCGTCTGAAAATTTCAGTGCTGATAGATCTTGACCAATTAAACAATTTTACCCCATGTCACATTTGCTCTAAAAGATTTAGTTTTTGAGATATAAACCAAAAACTGCATTTGACCCTTGTGTTCTATTTTTAGCCATGGCGGACATGTTTGTCAATGGATCAAAACTTCGGATACAATTTATAAACTAGATACTCTAAGGAACATTTAGTTAAAGTTTGAAGGTATTTGGCCCAGTAGTTTCAGAGGAGAAGATTTTTGAAATAGTTTACAACGACAGACGACGACAGATGACGACGACGGACACCAAGTGATGGCATAAGCTAACATGGGGCCCTTCGGGCCTCGGTTAGCTAAAAAGTGAGGAAAACTGATTATTTTAGTGAATTTTCTAAGTCCAAGGACCATAATTCTGCACAAAATCATCAGACCGGAACAAAATTCGAACTTGATCTGTAACTTGTCATTATAAAACTATATACCAATTTTCAAATCAATATCTTCAAGCATGAGGAAAAAAAGTGTGGAAAACTGATTTACCGGACTGACAGACAGACAGACAGACAGACAGACAGACAGACAGACAGACAGACAGACAGACAGACAGACAGACAGACGGAGTGCAAACCTAAAGTCTTCGGCGGTAGGGGACTAATAAATACTTGTTTCAGTTGTGATATTACATGAAGTGATTGTGGACCGTAAAAAATAAATTACAATAACCTTCCACAATCAATCAAGATGAAGAGGAGCAATGTCCTTTTTCTTTATGACCAGACGACTGTGTTCTGGTAATCATCAGCAAAGATATAAGGTAATATTTGTACCAAATTTGTGAATGAAAAAGAAATAAAATTGAGAATGGAAATCGGGAATGTGTCAAAGAGACAACAACCCGACCAAAGAGCAGAAAACAGCCGAAGGCCACCAATGGGTCTTCAACACAGCGAGAAAATCCCACACCCTGAGGCAGGCTTCAGCTGGCCCCTAAACAAAAATGTGTACTAGTTCAGTGATAATGGACGTCACACTAAACTCCATAACATATAAATGAACTAAGATTAAAAAACATACAAGACTTACAAAGGCCAGAGGCTCCCGACTTGGGACAGGCGCAAAAATGCGGTGGGGTTAAACATGTTTTGTGAGATCTCAACCCTCCCCCTATATCTCTAGCCAATGTAGAATAAACAAACACACAGCAATACGCACAGTAAAACTCAGTTCAAAAGAAGTCCGTTGTCAGAATAGGTAACAAAAGAAACTAAGCAAAATGACAATGATACATAAATTAACAAAGGACTACTAGCAGTTACTGACATGCCAGCTCCAGACCTCAATTAAACTGATTGAAAGATTATGTCTTCATCATATGAAAATCAAGCACAATCCCTCCCGTTAGGGGTTTTACCGTTTAGTATCATACCATCATAAAATATATGAGAAGAACATAACACATATCATGCCAACAACTGATTTTAGGATAAATGTGTTTATTTCCCATGCAAAGACCCTATGAGTGAATCAATATTAATACCAAAATATGCCATCTTTAATGACCTGACAACAGTATCGTAACTATATCCCTTCTTAATAAGTATGTTTAAAGGTTTGGTTAGCTTTTGAGGTGAGTGCCGACATTTTTGTGCTTTGTATAGAATATTACCATAAAAGTTTGGATGTGAAAT